CCCGGCCAGCCAATCGGAAGGCGGCGCGCGGGAGCGCCGCCGCGGTGTCGGGTGTAGCGGCTCCGAGGCTCTGAGGCGTGGACCCAGTGGGAGTGCGACCAATGGGCTCCGGGCTAGGTGGAGGTGGCTGTTGGCGTCGGAGCCCTCCTGTTCAGTGATCGCATTTAGAGGACCTGGACTTCGACCTTATATGCTTCCCCCTCCCGGGCTGAGGCAAAGTGGGACAGTTGGTGGGGTGAGGCGTAGTAAATGAAGTACTTCCCGGCCAGAGGGCACCTGGGGCCGTGAGGTCTCGGCCGCGTGGAGCTGGAGAGGAGCCGGCCCAGACGAAGAACCCTTACTCGTCAACCCAGCGGGCGGAGCGCAACCCTCAGGTCTGCCCGGTGGCGTGGAAAACGCAGCGGAGCCTAGGCACGGCATCGGGTGGCCCTAGACAGTTAACTCCCGCCAGGCCGTGGGAGGACCTGGAGACGCGGCGGAGCCCTCGGCTGCGTGAGCAGGGGCAGGACCCCAGCCCTTACAGCTTCCTTCTTCCACCCACTTACAGTCCCGGGCTCGGAAGGGACCGTAGGCTCGCAGAGTTCTCAGCTCCGGTTCTGGTCTCTGTTTTCCCGTGCACACCTTAATAAAAGGTGATTCCTAGGCAGTTGGAAACCTGTGGCTGTCCAAGGGGCTGCAGGAAATGGACTGCAGTATAAAATCCAGAAGCAGACCCTTTTCACAGGTAAGACGACACCAACCCAAAGTAACTGATCATGTACATGAGGTCACAGGGTGGAGTTTATATCCCAAGAGCTTGTAACTGTCATCAGCCACAGCCCAGTAAGCCATTGCATAAAATGAGAAACTGTGTATAATTAACTCTAAGTCGTGTGGAAACCAATGATTCCTCATCAAAAACAGGGATGCTATCTTACAAGATTATTACACCGATTAAGTAAAAAAGTAAAGTATTTAGAAGTGTGCCTGACACAACGTTTAACTCAGTAAATGTTCACTGTTGTCATAATTCAGACATAAGGAACCTAGAGGAAATGATCGTGGTAGCTTAAGAGCCTATTTTTAGAAACAAAGGGTACCACAGGTAGAAGCAAAGCAGACTGACTGAATTATTTTTCTGTCAAAATGAAAAAAGTATAAAGGGGAAAATATGAACAGGAGATTTAAAATTCCCCAGCTACTGAAATATAAACAGTGATTATTTCTGGATGACGAGATAGAGGGATTTAAATTTCTTTATGCATTACAGTGTTTTGCAAATTTTGTTCAGTAAATGTTTAACTTTTGTAAATTTATTTAATTCCACATTCTGAATGGTGCAAAAATGGCAAGAATATTTTAAAGGTAAAGCTACTACTGAGGATGGTTAGGTGGGAGAATAAGTTGTAGGATTTTTCTAAAAGGTAATTTGCCAATGTGCTAGGAAAGGTTTTAAAATAGACAGTTCTTTTTGAAAGTTACTTATTTAATTTTTACAATTAAGTACACTTTAACATTGCTTTACAAAATTGAAACCATACAGATACAGAGCATGATTCAGAGTCTCCTCTCCTGCTGTTCCTACCATTCTTCCTACCACTCTTCTGCCTACCACTCTTCTGCCCCACCTGTTCATCTCTGCTGACGAGATCCAAAGTCCTTTCATATGCTTAACACTTAATATTCTGTATAGGTCCATATATGCATTTGTAATTTTTTTTTTTATTCTCTGGGTGTATATAGGAGAGGAACAAAGCACCCTCCTCTCAATGAGCCCAATCATGTGGGTGTGTGCCAAAGCTCAGTATGTTTTTCAAGCCCTGTACGACTAAATCGCTGGCATGTATGACCCAGCTTCCTCTGCACTGTGTTTAACCACTGTGCTACAGAGCTGGCTATGCATTTGTAATTTTTAAAATTAAAATAGTATCTTCTTATATTCTGTAGCTCTTTCTTCAGCTAAAAGTGTTTTTGCATTTTTGTCTTATGTTTTGTTATTTGTAGCTCATTATATTATTTATGGACCATTTGTTTTACTTGCTGCATAGTATTCCAGGGTATGACTAAATTATTATGCTAATGTAAAATATTTCTCTTTGTCTTTCTTATTGGTCTTGATTTTAAATTATGTTTTGTTTTGATTCTGTTCCTAACTAATAAACGTATCTCTAATGTTTCATTATTGAATATGTTGTTTCCTGCAAGGTTTTTGTAGGTAGTCTTCATCAGATTAAAGGTAGTCTTCATCAGAGTAAGAACATTCTTTTTGGCGGCTGGCAGGTGCCGTGGTGGTTAAAGGCACTGGACTCCCACATGGCCGACCTCGGTTCGAGTCCCAGACCTGGTGGCTTGCTTTCTCACTTTCTCTCACTCTCTCTAACTCTATCCCTCTATGGTCAAATAAAAATAAATAAATAAATGTATAAATAAAGATAAATAAAATAATTTTTAAAAAAATAACTCTTCTTTTTTTTAGAGAAAATTTTGCTATAGGGTACATGTGCTTGCCAGAGAGACAGAGAGAGGGACAGAAAGTGAGAAATCATCCCCCAGGGGGATGGCCACACTGCAGTTCCTTCTTCATTCTCCTCTTGGGATTCTGGGCACCCATGCACATGCCAGCGTGAGGTGTTTTTTTTTGTTGTTGTTGTTGTTTTAATTTAAATTTGTTTATTTGCATTCATTCACTGTACATCATTACAGCATACATAATGAGATGTTTTCCATCCAGAGTACACTGTATATTGTCTCAATCAAGCACATTAACAAACATGTTATTGTCAGCAGATAATTTTCCATTTCTTATTTATTGTATGTTTTGCTTTTATTCCCCCATCCTTGATTCCCTATCTCTTACCTTCTGCCATCTCTCACTCTCCTCCCACACTGTCTCTGGTATCTATGTTTGCTTTCTATACTGTTTTCCCCCCCCAGCGTGAGTTTTAAGCCGCCAGGTCCAGGGCTTGAACCAAGGTTGACTATGTGGGAGTCCAGCGACGTAACCATTACACCATCTGCTGGTCCCAGGTGTTTTCTTTTTATTCCTAGTTTGCAAAAGGTTCTCCTCTACCTCCTCTTCACCCATCTTAATCTTTGAAATAGTTTAACTTTTTGAATTGTTTTGTTTTTCTGCATCTGAGATGATAGTTTTCTTCCATTCAACTGTTCCTTATAGATAAACTGTGTTAAACCAAAGTATCAATCCCAGGAGTAAAAACTTTGGTGTTATACTCTTACTCCACTGCTGGGTACCATTTTTAGTATTTTCATCCATACCCAGAAATTATTGACCTTGAGTTTTTTCCTTGCATGTCAAGGTTATACTGATCTCAAAGAGTTGAGTAGCTTTTTTTTTTCCTGCTCTGGAACAGTTTGTGTGTGGTAAAAATTACTCATTCCTTGGAAATTTTGTACAAATTGAGCTTAATGAACTTTGTGGATGTGGTAAATAGGGGTGAAATGGATGGAGGTGTAGAATGCATTCCTGTTAATAATGTTACTGTTTTAATTTCTTTTTGTACTTATTTTACTTGAGTTTTTTTACTTCTTGAGGCTCTTTGATATATTTTCCTAGAAATTGTTCAATTCACATGAGTTTTCAAATCTATTGGTTGAAATTGTTTACATCTTAAAATGTTTAAAAGCCTCTTCAGCAATTTTAGATATAGCTTCCATTTATTATTATGTTATTGACCTTTAATTGAATATTTTTAAGACAATAATTTCATTTTTCTCGTATTCTAAAGAATAAAATTCATTTAAATCTTAAATATTTCTTTGCTTACTGCTTTGACAAAATCCTTTATGTTTTTGTATGTACTATTTCAACTGATCTTCATTTCTAAGTATTTTTTCATTTCTACTTTGATTTCTCTGTAAACCATAAATTATTTGGAAATTTGTTTTTTAAATTTCCAGAAATAATATGGGGTTGGAGGAGTTAACTTGTTCAAATTGTTTTTACTGCATTCAGTCACTGTGAGCTATATAATAGCCTTTGGAATTTCTTGAGAATTTCGTTTGGTCTAGTACACCAATTTTTTTTTTTTTTTTGGAGTGGTTTTTGCTATAGGATGCGTGCGCTCGCCAGACAGACAGAGAGACAGAGAGAGAGAAAGCGAGAAATCACCCCCCAGAGGGGATGGCCACGCCGCAATCCCTTCTCCATTCTCCTCTCGGGATCTTGGGTACGCACACACATGCGCCCAGCGTGAGTTTAAGCCATCGGGTCCAGGACCTGAACCGCAGTTGACTACGTGGGAGTCCAGCAACATAGCCATTACGCTAACTGCTGGTCCCCATAGTACACAATTCTTTTAAGTTTCGTATTTGTTTCCAAAAAGTATTTTCTATTTGGTGCAGTTTTCTATACATTAGATCATGTTAGTTCGTGTTTGTTATTAGGTTGGTATAAAACCAATTACAATTTCAGACTAGGAATTTTAAATAGTTTTAACTAGGCTCAAATACATCTTTATTGATCAAAATAGGAACCATTACAATTAACATATTTCTGCCAATGAGAAATAAGTTTGTTTGTTCCCGTAGTGTAAAAGAAAAAAATACATGATTGGGGATTCAACAAACTCTTGGAAAGCACCTTCTGCTTTCTGCTTCTGCTAGTCGTGGACACATTTTCCCTGCACAGTGTTGTTGAGATGCTTGAACAAGTGGTAGTCAGTTGGCGAGAGGTCAGGTGAATATGGTAGATGAGACAAAACCTTGTAGCTCAGTTGGTTTACCTTTTTTTTTTTTTTTTTTTCAGGTTTTTGCCATATGGCATGTGCACTCTCTAGAGAGAGACCAAGAGAGACAGTGAAAGGGAAAGGGAGAAATCACACCCCTCCACACACGGCTACACCATATTCCCTTCTCCATTCTCCTTATGCACCTGGCATGATTTTCAAGCCACCGGGTGCGTGACTTGAACCACGGTTGGACATTTGGGAGTCCAGCACCTTAACCACTATGTCACCTTCTGGCCCCTTGTTCAACTTTTGAAGCATTAGTTTTATGACATGTGGTCACGCATTGTCACTGAGAATTGGGCTCTTTCTATTGACCGATGCTGGCTGCAGGTGGTGCAGTTTTTAGTGTATCTCATGGATTTGCTGATCATACTTCTCAGGTGTAGTGGTTTTACCCAGATTCAGAAAGCCATAGTGGATCAGACCTCTCCAAACAGTGACCATGACCCTTTTTTTTTTGGTGCAAGTTTGGCTTTGGGAAGTGCTTTGGAGCTTCTTCTTGGTCTGACCACTACGCTGGTCATTGCTGGTTGTCATATAAAATCCACTTTTCATCACACATCACAATCTGATCGAGAAACTTATGATTTGCTATTACATAGAATAACAGATGACACTCTATAAGGGCAGATATTTTTTGATGTTCAGTCATCTCATGAGTCACCTACTTATCAAGCTTTTTCACCTTTCCATCTGTTTCATATTCTAAACGACTGAGTTCTTTGGCCACAAATATTATTCATATGTAGAAATTTATGAATATTAAATCACAGTGAATTTTTCTCTTAAAATTTTTTCTTTGTCTCTTACCAGATTGCATCTTAAACTTTTATTTAATATGAATGTTTTTTTCTGTTCACATGCCATCATTCAGCATTTCTGTAACATTTTGTGTGAATTAGGTAACTCTCTTATTTTAAAATATTAATAGCTAGATTTTCCTTGTAATCCATTCTGAGAGCCTGTCCTTTATTAGGTGAGGTTAATACACTCATCTTTATTGTGACTATTAGTTTATGTATTTGGCCTTATTCTTGTCATCTTATTTACCATGCTTCTTTGTATATGTTATATCTTCTTTTTTCTTTTTAACTTTTTCTTTATTCTTGATTGAGAATGTGCATGCTCATGGGAGAGAGGCGGAGGGAGAGATGAGCACACTCCACAGGGTCTGGTCATGTCATGATCCCTTTCTTCCAGTCCTCCAGCTCTGGGATCTCTGGTACTCTTGCATGTATCCTGAGTGTTTCAGGCCAGCTGGACCTGGAACTCAAACTGTGGTCACCATGTGGTCTCTCGCTTCTCTTGAGCAGCGCATTACCACTGTGCCATGGAACTGGCACTGCTCAGTTTTCTTTTTATAGATTATGTTTACATTTTCAACATTCTTTCTTGAAAGTCTAAATTCAGTTAGTATTGAATACCTCTTTATGAAGAAGAAGTTAGCATACTTCTTTGCTTTTTCTGATTATGGAATATTCCCTTCCACTACCCATGCAAAAAAGGACGTGATATCTCCTGATGATATCTTCTAGCATTTAGTTTCATTTGTTATTAAAATCTACTTTAATATGTATCTGTCATTAGTGTGTTTTACTGATTTGCTCACTGTTGCTTTTCATACCACAATACTTTCTTCTCAGCTTATTTTTCTTCACAGAGTACTACCTTATTGCTTTCAAAGAGTACCTGAGTGGCTCTTTGAGTGTCTGCGAAAGTCTATTTTATTCCACTGTCCATATCAAAAGATAGCCTAGCTGGAAATAGAATTCTAGGTTTATACTTACTTTCCTTTAACATTTTGCATCTTCCCTCCCTGGTAAAAAATGTTATCAGTCTGATACACTTTCCTTTTAGATCATTTAGATTTTCTATGTCTTTGATATGCCAAAGTTTATCAGAGTTTCTCTTTTGGTATATATTAAAAATTTTACCCCACACGGACTCAGTGGGCTTACATGTTTTCCAGTTCTGAGAAAGTCTTGGTCATTATTTCCTTATCTCCATTCTTTCTGTTTTGTCCCTCTACTTGTTTCTTCGCCCTGTTCTTAGGGTATGTTACTCAACTCAGTCTTCCAGCTTATTAACTGGTTCTTCATGTGAGTCTGTTCTGTTGTTCAGTCATCTACTGAATTTTCTTCAACAACTATCTTTACACTCAAGGTATCTAATTGGTTATTTGTCAAAATAGTTTATTTTATGGATGAAGTTTCTTTATTTAGCTCTCTGGTGATATTAACTACAGTAACATTTGTTTTAAAATTATTTTCAAGATGCTTTATTAATTCTCTTCTTGTATGTCAGTCCATCTGTTTGGTAGGATTGTTACATCTTTTTCATGGTGTAGCCTTCTGCAGATGTTTGAGAACTCTCAGTTTTGCACTCATGTCCTCTGAGAGGATTCTTGCTTGTCCTTTTGCTTCTTAATTGTGGTTGCCATTATTTTTGCAGTTTCCCATCTGTTTCTTTTCTCCAGAGAGGCCTCACAGACTTGGGCCATAGAGAGTTTTTCGTTTTCAGGATGACTATATATATATATTTTTTAATTTTTATTTATTCATTCGTTTATTTTAATTTGACCAGAGAGAGACAGAGTGAGAGAGAGAAAAAGTGCGAAAGCAAGCCACCAGGTCCAGGACTTGAACTGTGGTCGGCCACGTGGGCGTGTCCAGCGCCTTAACCACCATGCCACCTGCTGGTCCCAAGGATAACTATATTTTTTAAATCATTTCTAACATGAAAATTGTCAATCCCTTTTGACCTCATTTCTTTCTTTCTGTTTTAGTTTTGCTATAGTGCATGTGCTCTCCCCAGATTTGGGGGATGAGGGATAAGAAGTCACCCTCCATGAGCAATGGCCACCCCACAATCTCTTCTCTGGATTTTGGGTATGCATATATATGCATCCAGTGTGATTTTTAAGCTGCCATTTCTAGAACTTGAACCACACAGTCAATCATGTAGGTTCCAGCACTGGATCTAGTGCCTTAACCTCCATGCCATCTGCTGACCCCATTTCTAATTTTAAATGTATATACATCCTAAGGAAATATTCAGAGATATGTATAAAGTGTATTTATTACAGCATCATATTTATTATACTGTTAGTAAAAGAAAATATTTTAAAAAAATAAAAAGTCTACATGTCTGGTATAGAGGTTTATATTCGTTACTAATTAATAATTTATTAAAATGTAATTATTAAAGTTCTTTAATGTACTTTAATGTATATTGACCAAAGTACATTAAATAACCACTTAATCTTATGATAAAAAAATACATTAATGAGGGACCAGCAGTTAGCGTAATGGCTATGTCGCTGAACTCCCATGTAGTCGACCGTGGTACGAGTCCCAGACCCAGTGACTTAAATTCACACTGGGCTCATGTGCCTGCATGCCCAAGATCCCAAGAGGAGAATGGAGGAGAAGAGATTACAGCATGACCATCCTCCCCGGGAAGTGATTTCTTGCTTTCTGTGTCTCTGTCTTTCTGTCAAGCGCGTGCGTCCTATAGCAAAAACCTCTCCAAAAAACCAAACCAAAACAAAACAAACAAACAAACAAACAAACTATATATATATATATATTAATGAAGGGGGAAGTTCATGAAAGATTACGCACACTAAAGTCAAAATCTCATTTTAAAATTAGGTGCTGGGCCAGCTCTATAGCCTAGTGGTTAACAGGGCTAGATTCCACATGGAAGACCACTGTTCAAATCCCAGCCCTAGCAATTTGAAAAGCATGCTGGGTACATGTGTGTACATTTCTAGAAATCCCAACAAGTTGGAAGAAAAGGGACTGTGCCATGACCTTGCCCCATTGAAGGGTGCTCTCTCTGTCTCTCATTGTCTTCCTCTCTCTATCTGGCTAGTGCCTATACCCTTTGGCAATTTCTCAAAAAAGTTTTTAATTATTATTTTTTTAAAAACAGTACGCTGTGGGCCACATTCTATGTGACTGACCAATTGGTTTGAATTCCAACTACAGTGGCTTGAAAAACACATTAGGTACCTATTCCTGGTGGAAAGGAAAAATGGAGAAAGAAAGATCACAGCATTACTTTTTTAAAAAATTATTTAATTTTATTTATCATTATTATTTTTAAATTTGCTTTAGGGCATGTATGCTCACCAGAGAAAGAGACAGAGAGAGAGCGATACACACACAACACACAGAGGAGAAAGTGAGAAAGCAAGTTGCCAGGTCCAGGACTTGAACTGTGGTCAGACATTTGGGAGTCCAGCACATTAACTACCATGCCACTTGTTGGTCCCCGCAGCATTACTTTTGAGGTATGCTTTCTCTGTTTAGTGTACATGCCCACTGACATTTAAAATATCTATATATATTGAAAGAATAATAATAATTGCTAAAATTTACTGAATTCTTCATATGTATGAGGCACTAACCTAATTCTTCATCTGTATGAGGCACTAGTATTATGAAACATGTTAATTAACATACATGTTAAGTATGGATGTGTAATAATTCATAATATTATTATTCATTATAGAGCTGTTGTTATAATGATATCTTTTTTTCTTACATATTTTGTCCTTAACCAATGCATACCATTCTTTATTGTCTTCTTTACAGAATGTTTCATGCATTTGTGGACCAAAAGATGGAGTTGGTTTTTATTTTTAAAAAGTTATTGTCAGTGATCTGATATGACTAACTATTCACTTGGCGAAGATGCATGGACTTAATGGACTTGTCTTTTGGTTGGACTAATGGTTATTTCTGAAAGTTTCTTCAACTACAGTTTCTATTTGAAAATTCAAGTCTCAAAGAATATCAGATCAAAATGGTATAATAATATATTTTAACTGAGGACTGCAAATTTCATAGAAACCACATTTGGATTCCACTAATATTCTACAATCAAAGTGATACAGATCATTCAGTCCTTTGATAAATCAAATTTGAAAAATCTTATATTTATAAACGGCACCAAAAGATGGGAGAAAAAAATGGTAGGTTAAAAAATACTTTGTTATATTGTGTGTTTAAAGTATATAGATGACTTATGCTTTACTGTGAAATTTTTGAACTTTTTTTAAAAGTGACTTATAAATTAGAAAGAATTAAGGGTTTATTCTGAAGTAGCCATCAACTTTTATTGTTTAATTTTTTTTACTTAATTTTACTTATTATTTATTTTCTAATTTGATCAGAGAGAAAGAGAGAGAGAGAAAGGGAAAGTGAGAAAGCAAGCCAGTGGGTCTAGGACTCGAATTGCCGTCAGTCATTCATGTGGGAGTCCAGCACCTTTACCACCACGCCACCTGCAAGCTCCAGTTTTGATTGTTTCTATAATTAATTGCATACATGTAATCCTAAATCAGTACTTTAATATATATTTTTAAAATAGACTTTATTGGGAACCAGCAGTTAGCGTAATGGCTATGTCGTTGGACTCCCACGTAGTCGACCGCGGTTCACGTCCCGGACCCGGTGGCTTAGAACTCACGCCGGGCGCATGTGCGTGCGTGCCCAGGATCCCGAGGGGAGAATGGAGGAGAAGGGATTGTGGCGTGACCATCCCCCCTGGGGGGTGATTTCTCGCTTTCTGTCTCTATGTCTCTCTCTGTCTGTCTGGCGAGTGCACGCGCCCTATAGCGAAAATCTCTCCAAAAAAAAAAAAATAGACTTTATTTTATCGAAAATGTTATCTTTACAGAAAAATTCAGACGATACTATGGAATGTTTCCATGTCACTAGCTCTCAGTATCACCCATGATTAACACATTTGAAAGGTACATTTGTTACAATTAAGGAACCAATATTAATACATTTTTATTAACTAAAGTTCATAGTTCATTCAGTTTTCCTTAGTTTTCACCTGATCCCTTTTTTTCCATCCAGAATACCACATTAATTTTACTTACCATGTCTCCTTAACAATCCTCTTAGCTGTAATAGTTACTCAGACTTTTGTTACTTTCAATTTTGTGGGGGTTTGTATCTAAGTATTTTGTGGGATGCTCCTCTATTGGAATTATTGTCTTTTTTTCCTCATAATTAGACTGAAGTTAGGAGTTTTGAAGAATAGTATTACAGAGATAAAGTAACGTTTTCATCACATCATAACAAGAGTACATCCTATCAACATGATTTCTCGCTGTTAATACTGAGCTTGATCACCTGGCTGTGTTATCAGGTCTGTCCACTATAAAGTTACTCATGTTTTTCTACCATTTCCCCAAGTTACTGTTTGGAAATAAATCACTAAGTGCAGCCCACACTTATTGATTGGAGATTCATGCACCCCTCCTTGATAGTGGATTATCTACATTAATTATTTGGACTTAATGCAAGGGGGATTTGTTTCTTCTTCCCTATTTATTTATTTATAGTATTTATTGACTGGTAATTTTTGCTGTAGAGCCTGTGCAATCACCTAACAGAGAGGGGAAAAGTGAAAAAGCACCCCCTGCAAGGGGATGGCCACGCTGAAATCCCTTCTCCATTCTCTTCTAAAGATTTTGGGAGCACTTGCACATGTGCCTGGTATGTTTTTCAAGCCACTGGGTCCAGGACTCGAATTACGCAGTAGACTATGTGAGATCAAGCCCTCGTAACTACCAAGCCACTAGCTGGCTCCTTTCTCCATTTGTGTATTTAATTAATCATTTATTTATATCATTATGCTCACGGATGCTTATTTTATAATCTGAGTTATAATCTAGTACTACTTTATTTACTTAGACAAATTTTGTGATGGCTTTGTCAGTTTTTATGACTTCCGAAAAAAATTTTTGTAGAGAATATGTGTACTCACCAACAAGAGACAAAGTGAGAAAGCACCCCCTCAGCCCTGTAACACTCCCCCCCTCCCCCATTAGGGAGGATGGTCACACTGTAATCTCTTATTTTTCTTTTGGGATTTGGGGCCATACATGCATACACTCCTGGTGCATTTTTTAAGCTGCCACTTCTGGGACTCAAACCATGTGGTCAGCCATGTGGCTGGCTTAACCACCATACTTCTGACTGGTGGTTGCTCTGATTATCCCAGTTTTGGCCATTAGAATAGTTCATTTGGCTCTTATCCCTTTGACACACCCCCATTAGTGTAGATGTGTTTCTTATTTTCTGGCACTAGAAGATACACCCAGCTCATCTTGTGTATTTCTTACCCCAACCCTAAATAAACTCAGCCATCTTTTAAATATGCTCTGGTTCCTTTTTCATATGTGTGTGTGTGTGTGTGTGTGTGTATGTATATATATATATATATATAGAGAGAGAGAGAGAGAGTTTTTTTTTATAGGGCACGTGCTCTCGCCAGAGAGACAGAGACAGATAAAAAGTGAGAAATCATCCCCTGAGGGGATGGCCACACTGCATTCCCTTCTCAGGACTTTGGGCATTCACACACACACACACACACACATACACACCCAGTATTAGTTTAAAGCTACTGAATCCAGGACTTGAACCATGATCCACTATTTGGGAGACCAGTAACATAACTATTACTCTATCCGTTGGTCCCAAGCTCTGGTTCCATTTATTGGAGAATAAAGGAAACCAAGATCAGGGTAGTAGGTCTCAACTGACTTAGCCAGGAAATAAACATGTATACTAATATGTACATATAAATACATAACTACTTCTATATGTAATCATGTGTGTACTTAGTAATCTAAATGTAAATTTATTAGTCATGTTTCCAACTCTGAACTTTATCTCATGGATTATTCTATTCTCCCCTTACTGCTTATCTGTAAACTCACACTTCAGTAGTGAGAGACTTGATTCTCACCACCATCCATTTACTTTATAGTTCAATTTCAGTATATATGTATAGCACTATCAGAATTGTGAATCTACTTCCCAGTAAGAAAACACTTTTATCAGATAATTAAATAGTGTAAATCTGCAATTCCTTTTGCCTTTGATCTTATAGATTCCACTCACTTCCAGTGTTACTAAGTGACCTCAGGATTACTTCCTACTCTTCAGAGTATTTAAAATTCCAAAGAGATTTTGTTTGTGCTGTTAACATCTGTTGATATTTACTGTATTAAAAATTGAAAATAGTGGGACTAGCAGTTAGCGTAATGGCTATGTTGCTGGACTCGCATGTAGTCGACCGCGGTTCGAGTCCTGGACCCGGTGGCTTAAACTCACGCCGGGCACGTGTGTGTGCGTGCTCAAGATCCCGAGAGGAGAATGGAGGAGAAGGGATTGTGGTGTGGCCATCCCCCCTGGGGAGTGATTTCTCACTTTCTGTCTCTTTGTCTTGGTCTGTCTAGCGAGCGCACGCGCCCTATAATGAAAACCTCTCCCCCCAAAAATTGAAAATAGTAATTGACTCATTTAAAAAATATATACATGGTAAAGATATAAAAACTACTTTCTAAAACATAACTATTAATGAAAAGAATAACATTGTTTTACATTTTACAAGTATCTTTAATACCTGACTTATTAGAAGAGTCTCATACCTGTTTCTACATGTCTGTCTGCTGTGATATGTGCTTTGGTTGAAATGCATATGATAAAAAAAAAAAAGACCTAAGTGTTTGTTATGATAATCATTTAGTCTCTTTCTGTGTGGAAATTAATTAGATCTCTTAGTTTTGTTTTTCAGAAAGTTTGTTTTCCTCTTTTCTTCTTCATATTACTGGGGTTAAAAGTTTCCATAGCAAGAAGACAAAAATGATCAAGAGGGAAGACAAGAAAAACAAGTCATTTTAATAAGAATTAAACCTAGGCAGTGTGAGATAATTGGGAGGTCTTAAGGCACAATGTTATTTATTTAAAACCTAGAGTAAATACATTTGAATTGTTTAGTCTTATTTATTGAAGAAGGAGATATTCCCTTTCAGTATTTTCTTCTTTTTTTCTTACATTATTAGTGTTCTCTTCATTAATCATTTCAAAGACTAGGCATTTACTCTTTTTGCTTTAAGTATTTTGTTTTAGATAGTACCTTTTAGAATAATTTAATGGCATGTATTGTTATTTCTAAGACAATTTTAAATGATAATCACTGAAGAAAAAAAAAAAAAAAACTAAGCAAAAAGTCCTGGTTGCTGCCTTTCAGTGTAACTGCTGCTTTCCTTAGGCCAGAGCAGAGTTGTATTTGATTGCTCTGCCTCCAGATGTGATTTTTAAATGCTTTTAAAATTTTTTCCGGGACCAGCAGGAGGCATTGATGGCTATGTCACTGGACTCCCATGTAATCAACTGTGGTTCGAGTCCTGGATCCTGTGGCTTAAACTCACACCAGACGCATGTGCGTGCATGCCCAAGATCTCTGGAGGAGAAGGGATTGTGGTGTGGCTATCCCCTCTGGGGGGTGATTTCTTGCTTTCCTCTCTCTGTTTCTATCTGTCTGGTGAAGCACGCACCCTATAGCAAAAACCTCTCAAAAAAAAAAAAAATTTTTTTTTTTCTCCCCTAGGGGCTAGCAGGTGGCATGGTGGTTAAGGCAGCTGGACTCCCACATGGCTGACCATGGTTCAAATCACAAACCTGGCAGCTTGCTTTCTCACATTGCCTCTCTGTTTCTGTCTCTCACTGGTCAATTTCAAAAAATAAACTAATGACAGTGAATAAAATTAAATGAAAACTTTTATCCCCATCTAGATGTCTACCTCTAATAAAAATAAATCCCTAGTATGCTGTACTGACTCATATCCATGAAAGGAAACATGGTAACAATGATCAATTAAATGCTTTGAGCAATAGTTTTGTCTAAAAACAATCTTCATTGGTTTTCTGTTAGTGAAAAACTTAATGATTGTAGATAATCTAGGAAAACCCTACTTCACAAAATATTTTCTCCAGTAAGCTGAATGATCTCTAAAATGCTACAATTAAAGGTTAATTTCTTTCACCTAAGACTGTATTTTCTGTTAGATCGTATATAGTAATTTCTTGCCAGCTTCCATGTGCTTATCTACGCATTGACTGTATGAGATAGATGCTGTTATTCCCATTTTACAGATAAGATCAGTAAGTGGCAGTACTGGGATTTGAACCCAAATACATCTGAACAAAGTCTGTATTATTAATCACTGTTTCTGTTCTTCCCCTAACTCCTGAAATACTACTCTTCTGTGCTTCTCTTATACCTTCTCCATCTTTTATTTTTTTCTTTTCTTAAGGTTTTTGCCATAGGGCATGTGTGCTCTTTGTAGAGAGATAGAGACAGTGAGAGGGAAAGTGAGAAATCACCCCTGGGGGGGATAGCCATTCCTCAATTCCTTCTCCTTCATTCTCCTCCTAGGATTTTAGGCACACACACTCACACCCTGTGTGATTTTCAAATCTCCGGGTCCCAGACTCAAACCATAGTAGGCCATGTGGGAGTCCAATGCCTTAATCACTATGCCACCTGCTAGCCCCCCTTCTCAATCTTTATGATTTTTTTTTTTTTTTTGGGGGAGAGGTTTTTGCTGTAGGGCATGTGCACTCACTGGAAAGACAGAGAGACAGAAAGTGAGAAATGACCCCGCACGGGGGTGGCCACACCGCAATCCCTTCTCCATTCTCCTCTCAGGATCTTGGGCATGTGTGCATACATGCCTGACTTGAATTTAAGCCACGGGATTCAGGACTGAAACCACAGTCAACTACATGGAAGTCTAGTGATGTAACCATTACACCATCTGCTGGTCCCTGTGATTTCTTTTTTGGTATTCATTCCTCATACACTGATGTTCAACAGAAGACTCTCTTCTTACCCTTTCTCCCTAAGAAATCACATGTACTCTGTGGCTTCAGCAAGGATTAGTGTGCTATTGACTCTTAACATTTGTGTGTATTTCTGGAGTAGATCTTACTCTGGAGCCTGTGCATCCATTTTGATCAGCAAGCTTTTCTTCTTACTTGAGTTTCCTACCTGCTCCCCTACCTTAATTTTTTACCTCAGTGAATAACATTACTATTTATATGTTTGCTTGAGACAAAAAGATGGAGATCATGCTTGACTCCTCCCACTGCGATCTGAGTGATCTTTCTAAGAAACATCCAATCACATCACGATACTCATATACCTCTTGAGTTGCTTAGCATGGCACACAAAGCCCTTCATGTCATAACCTCTACCTGCCTTCTAAAAGTACCATTTCTTGTCAATTTTGTACTCTCATACATACTGCATTTGTTTCAGATTGTGAAAGCTTATTTGAGCTGTGCTATGGGGAATTAAAAATAGGCTTAGTCTTGTGTAGTACACATCAAGCCAGAATATTAACAGTGGCACTCCTCCTGAGGCTGCTGTGGTAGCAGCAGCCCTAATTAGTCAGAGATCTCCTTTGGGAAAGGTGTTTTTTCCAGCAGGCATTGGGACTATGAGGTAGCAGGAATTGGGACTCTGAGGTCTAATCCTCTTTCCTCATGAAGGTTCTCCCACCACTGCCAAACTTGGAGGTCCTGCATTTCATTGTTAAGGGAAATTTATTTTTTGTAAGCTCTCTGACTTCACTCATAAGTCTCCAGTGGCTACTCAAGTGACCTTTCTGAAAGATTATCGTTATTCTGTACCTCTTTTGCTTAAGGTCCTATTAGTTAATTTTAAATATATTTTTAAAATTTGCTACAGGTCATGTGCACTTGCCAGAAAGAGACAGAGAGAGGGGGAAAGTGAGAAAGCATCCCCAAGGGGGTTGGCTACGCTGCAGTTCCTTCTCCATTCTCTTGTGATTTGGGGCATATACGCACATGCATGTGTTGTATATTTCAAGGCACTAGGTCTGAGACTGGAACTGTGCAATTGGCCATATGGGATCCAGCCACCTAGACCACCATGCCACCAGCTGGCCTAACTTTAAATAATTTTATACATTTATTTGTACATTTTATGAATAAATAATACTTAATATTTTAAGATATTTTTGCTGCTTTTAAATAGGTTTAAGTATGAGATTTGGCTTTTGATTATTTAATTGCCTTTCTCATATTTCTGTTTTCAACCTCGAAGGGATTATTTCTCTGGGAAAATTTTAATTAAGGTGTAGCTTGCTGGACATCAGAAATGTTGTTTTATTTATATAAGTTTATTTCTGTAGACTATAGGCATTATTTTTCTTCATTTAATTAAACTTAATGTAAAAAACTTTCTAAAAGGTTTTTGATGTTTTGTTATTTCAACAATCATTGAAACTGTCTACTTCTGTCCTCAATAGAGGCTATATCCCTGAAACGTTTATACATGCCCCACTACCGTTAAAATGCAATCATTCTTTTTGTTTTGCTGTCAAGAAATAATGTCACTGGGACAAGAAGATGGCATAATGGTTACATTGCTGAACTCCTATATGACCAACTGCAGTTCAAGTCCCAGACGTGGTAGCTTCAAACTCATGCCAGGCACATGTGTGTGTGTGTCCAAAATCCCAAGAGGAGAATGGAGGAGAAGGGATTGCAGCATGGCCATCTCCCAGGGAATAATCTCTTATTTTCTGTCTCTGTCTCTCCAGCAAACATATGGGCACCCTATGGCAAAAAATCTCTTAAAAAAAAGGAATAGTGTCACTAATGTTTTCGATATATTTTTTAAATTAGCAGAACTAGATGAAAGTTAGACCATATTCTTTGTTTTAGTTCTTTATAAGGAAACATAACCAAAATCCTTTTCCTCAAGGAAAAGTGATAGGCAACTGAATCTCAATTTTATTTAAAAAAACAGGTAGATTTTTCTGTGACATGTGCTTTAGTGAAATTTCAGTCTATTTCTATTAAACTGTGAGGCTATTTATTCACTTTAGGTGATGCAAAAGCTTTCTGGATGGAGCTAGAAGATGATGGAAAAATAGACTCCATTTTTGAACAAGTGCAAAATGTACTGCAGTCACTGAAACAGAAGATCAAAGATGGGTCTGCCACAAATAAAGGTAGGAGTCCATAAAAACTTTCAATTTGTTTAATACTATATTGCCCATGGTAATACAGTATTATTTCTTTTCTAATTTATTTTAAAAGTGAAATAATTTCTATTCTTTTCTAAAAATCTTTCATCAGGTGTATTTGCTTTATTTGGTCTCTACTTTTGTGAAAATTCGCTTTTACCATACTATGGATATTTTGTAAAAGTGGGTAAATATGATTACTTGTGAATGATAGCTACTGAATTTATTTCTTTTGATACTAGGCTACTTATCCTATCATTTTATCTTCTTTGGAAAAAAAAAAAGTCACACACTTTGTATTTTTATGTAGGGGGATGAGATGTTGCCAAAGTTATGGGCTGGCTGGGTGGTGCAGTGGTTATGTGCCATTCAGGTGATGCTGGATCTACATGGAAGATCATAGGTTCAGTTTCCCAGTTGACCCATATACACCAGGTGTGCATACCCATGATGCTAACTGACTGGAAAGGCTCAGTGCAGATTGTGAGATGAGATCCCGCTGAAGGTGCTTAATATTTCTCTGTCTCTCTGTCTCTATATCTCCACCTCTCATGACATAAAAAGTAATATCCATTCTTTCTACATTAGGGAAATACAGAAAAATACAATAAAAGATGCATTTTCCCATACTTTGTTGAACTCAAAGATGGACTAGTGTGTGTATAAAATTGCATTTTGCCTGCTTTAAACAGAACTTGCTTTACTAGCCTTCTGAAAGCAGAATTTGTGTTCTTCATAGGCATTCGGTTTAGTCATCCAAGTTTTTATTTTTGTGTTTATCTTCAACCCTATTTGACTGTAGAATATAGGATTAATGTGAAATCTTCCTCAGTCCATCAGGTCATAGGTTTTTTGGGTTTTGTTTTGTTTTGTTTTTTAGTTTTGCTATAGGGCATGTGTATGAGTCAGAGAGAGAGGGAAAGTGAGAAATCACCCCCCACGGGGGATGGCCATGCTACAATCCCTTCTTCTCAATTCTTCCCTCAAGATTTCGGGCCTGCATACATACATGCCTGGCATGATTTCAATACACTGGGTCCTGGACTCAAACTGCACATTTGGCTATGTGGAATTTAGCCACCTTAACCTCCATGCCACCTGTTGGTCCTCCCTAGACTATTCTTAATACTTTATAGATAGTCCTATGGCATTAAATTGTCATTAAGTACTGCTTTTCATTTTCATTTTCTTTCTGAATTCTTCATGAATAAGATAATATCTAGGTTTACATTGAGTTCTACCACTTCTAGCTAAACAACCTAGAATAAATGGCTGAACCTCTGAGGCTCGGTTTCTTTGTCTCTATTCCAGGTAGTCATTATAGCCTCTGTACAATTCTCTAGGGAGTTATAAGGATTAAATGAGACAAAGTAAGTTTAGCTCAGTAGCTTATACCATGAATAAAAGTGATAGTTATGCTCATTGTTTTCATTCTATTTTCTTTCCTTAACAGAATACATCCAAGCAATGATTTTGGTGAATGAAGCAACTATAAGTAATAATTCAACATTCATAAAGGGTATGTACATATCTAATCCCAAACCAAACTATTCTCTGACATTTTCTTGCCATAAAGTAGGCAAGTCTTAAATGTCAAGTTGATTGAAGATAATTTAAAATAACATAAGATCAACACTGCTAAATTTTATAAATCACAGTTTATTATATGAGAGTACTATCAATCCAGAGATGGGAAATACATACCTAGTAAGTGTTCTAGGGAGAGAATGAATAAATGTCTGTCTTCTTCAAAAAACCTTCTTGTATAATCAGGGTCAATAGAATTCTAAGATTATAAATCAGTCTAAACCCACTTTTCTATGAGAAGAACACTACTAGAAAAGTATATTTTGGTAAGTTGGTGAATAGGGTTTTCAGTTTTAGATGTTTTTTTCTTTTTAAAGATTTATTTAGTTTTATTATTATTTTTTAATTTTTCTATAGGGCACTTGTACTCAATAGAGAGAGAGAGGAGGAAAGGAAGGGAGAGAGAGAAAGTGAGAAAGCAAGCCACCAGGTCTGGAACTCAGATTGTGGTTGGCCATGTGGGAGTCAAGCACCTAACCACTGTGCTACCTACTGGCACCTTTAGTTGAATTTCAGACCATCAGTGTTCTAGGCTCTAAATTTGATTTAGAAGGCTCAAAGATAACATACTAAAGAAAAACTATTTTTCTTGTAAGACTTCTGACACCAAACGTGTGGGTTTTCAATACCAAGCATTTCTCCAATTATCTGTGGACATCAGTGGGATGTCCTACAATTTAATTTAGTTCTGACACTGACTACCCAGAGTTGGTGCAGACCAGACAGTTTAAGGACTCAGTCCTTTAAAACTTAGCCCCTATATCAGATACCAGTCACCAGTCCTGGGCCTCTAATATTTCCAGCCACCTTGGCTTCAAATTAGGAGTTTCCACAGCCGTCCCTCCCTCCCGTACGGTTGTTTGCTATGTGATTCAGAGAACTTAGAGAAGTAATTTACTTACGGTTGAGTCCTTGGAAAAGTAGTGACACATTCTTGCATGGAAAATCATGTCATGACTTTTCCGATGCCTCAGTAATTCATATTTATTACAAAGTATATTAGTAATAAATAAACAACCAGATGAAAAGGTATATATGGTGAGGTCTGGGGGGCCCTGAATGTAGCAGCTTCTGTTTCTGTGGAGTTTTGGGGTGTGCTGCCACCCAGTTTGTGGACGTATTCCCAGTCTGAAAGCTCTCTGACATTGGCATTTAGGGGTTTGGTGGAGGTCTCATTCCATTGACATGATTGATGATAACATTGGCCATTTGTGATTAATTCAATTTTGTACCCCCTCTACCATCTCTGGACCTTTTAACCCCAACCCTCTAATTTATACTTGGTTTTTCCTAGATGCTTTTGTGTCCAAAACTAGAGACTGGGCCAGCCCTGTGACCTGATAGCTGGGGGAGCTGGATCCCACATGACCAACTGCACAGTTCAAATCCTGGGCCTACATACCCCAAATTCCAAAAGGATGGAGAAATGGAGGAGAAGGGATTGTAGCATGACCACAGCCAGTGGAGAGCACTTTCTCACACTTCTTTTGGCGAGTGCATGTGCTGTCTGACCAAAACCCCCAAGGACTAAGCCCAAATATTGTAACAGAAGACACTCCTATCACCCCGTCATTTAAGAAATTACAAGGATTGGGGCTGGCAGGTAACATGGTGGTTAAAGGTGCTAGATTCCCACATGGCTGACTATGGTTCAAGTCCTGAACTTGGTGGTTTCCTTTCTCATTTTCCCTCTCTCTCTTTCTCTGTCCCTCTGACCAAACTGGAAAATAATAATAATAAAGTTAAATAAAATAATCCTTTTTTTTTTTTTGAGAGGCCTGGGCTATAGGGCCTGTCCACTCGCCAGAAAGACAGAGAGACAGATTGTGGCCACTCCACAATCCCTTCTCCTCCATTCTCCTCTAGGGATCTTGTGCATGCATGCACATGCGCCCTGCATGAGTTTAAGCCACCGGGTCCGGGACTCGAACCACAGACAACTACATGGGAGTCCAGTGACATAGCCATTATGCCAACTGCTGGTCCCAATAATTCTTTTAAAAAAAGAAATTACAAGGGTTTTAGAGATTTTTTTGTCAGGAACTGAAAGACAAAATGTATATATCTTATCATGTTACATATACCAAATCTAGAAAACAAATTGCAGGGTCATGGCCAACTGCAATTCAAGTGCCAGACCCAGCGACTTGGAAAACATGACCAGTGCATGTGCATGAGTGCCCAAAATCCCAAAAGGAGAATGGAGGAGAAGGCATTACAGCGTGGCCATCCCCCTGTGCCTCTGGTGAGTGATGTCTCTCTTCTTTCTCCATCTCTGCTTCTCTGGAGAGTGCACATATCCTATAACAAAAACAAAAAAAAAAAAAGAAAAAAATCAAAAAGTTATTAATCAGAATCACCATTCCATAAATCTGTAATTCCTAGTCTGTCACAAATTAGCTAAAATGTTGAAGAAATACATTTACTAGATTTTAATTATTGCTGTTAGGTATTATCAACAGATGTTAATAACTTTTGCTTGGACTTCTTCATTTGAACCGTAAGGCTTTAATCTCTGGAAATATAGTGTATCATCATCTGTCTATTTGAAAGACACCTTTTTGGTATTTAAAAGTATTTTCAATTTCAGTAGCTAAAGTATAGTTTTGGAAGAGTAGATGCTTGAAACAGTCTCCTATAAGGAGTATCCCTCAGTAATGCTTAAAATTGTAGCGGAAGAAAAGTCTTTTATCTCAGTAGCTAAAGATAGGGACTTTAAATTAAATTGATGAAAAGCAGATTAATAAATAAAAGGCATACAAATTTGTTGATTTTACATGCACAGGAGCATGAAAAGAATGGAATACAAAAGGCAGCAGTGAGATTTGAGTGTTTATCATTCATCTTAATAGGAGAAAGTGAGGAGCAAAGGAGCACTTGTGGAAGAACAAAATGGGTTAGAAAGGAGGAGAGAGAAAGGGTACCCACAGAGCAACAAATGACTTTTGAAAGATAAATGGACCCTGAGGAGAAAAGTTGGAACATCTGATTATAATAATGTCTGTTTGGGCAGGGTACATCCTCTGCTCTCCTGTGATAAAAGTAAATCTTTCCTGGTTGAAACTCCCAGGAGAGAGGATTTATGACAATTAGTTCTTCATTTTGGAGAATCTATTTTTAGAAAGATTAGGGAAGTTCAGAGAAAGCCTCTTCCTGAATTTGTTGATTCTCAAATGTCTTCAACTCAAAATAATCTTTCTGCCACTGTGGCACATCTGTACACCTTCAGAATCAACATACTCTTAAGGTATTATATTAGTTTTGCAAGAAAGAGACTTTTAAATGCTGGAAGGGGTAAATTAATTCTAAATAATGTTTCTTGTATTTCTGAAACAAACTTTCCACTAAAAGTAAGTTGAGTTTTGTTTTATGGTAAGTAGTTAGATCTATGTAATTGATATTATTGGCAAATATGAACATTAAAAACTTTCTAATAATAAAATTTGATACTAGTATTTATTTATTTTAATAGGGATTTCTGCCAATGGGCATATGCACTTGATTGAGAGAGGCAGAGAGAAAGAAAGCAAGAAATCACCCCTTAGGCAGGAATTGTCACACCACAGTCCCTTCTACTCCATTCTCTTTTTGGGATTTTGGGCATGCATGCACACGTGCCTGGCCTGAGTTTCAAGCTGCTGGGTCCAGGACTTGAGCCTTGGTTGGTCATGTAGGAGTCCAGTGCCTTAACCACTACACCACCTGCTAGCCCCGTTAATATTTATTTTTTAAAAAATGTTGAGGGCCTATGGTAAAAACCTTTAAGTAAATAAATAAATAAATTTAAGTAAATAAAAAGAATGTTGAGATTGAGAGAAACAAAGAACTTGGAATTGAGGTCAAAAAGACATCCTGGAGCCAGCCTGAATTCCACAGGCTGTGATCAAAACACCAATTACCTTTAATTTCCTCATTCATGTATAACTGTAAATAATAATTGCTGTAACCCCATACAAAGGGTTGGATACTTTTCCTGAGAGGAATTATTTCTTCTTATCTAATGATTACTTTTACCTCATGTTTTTCAGTAAATCTTATTACTAACTAAATATTTGTTTTTCTCATATTTGTTAATATAAATTTATATGGCTCATGCAAAGAGATTAGATGGGAAACAAGATAGAAATTCTTAATTTGGAAAATATTTAAGTTCTAACCAGTTATTATAGCTCTTCAACTTTCAGCTTTTAAACCTTCTTTCTTACTTGGAAAACTAAAGAGCAATATTTATTTTTTAATAAGCCAAGGAACAGCCTTGGATTATAATTTAAAATATTTATTTAAATTATATTTGTTTTATTTTTAGTAAGACTGCACTAAAGGATCAAACAATAAACAAGATTCCTTGCTTAACCAAACTTGAGTCAGGCTCCTGAACCTTTTCATGTCACATCTGTGTACTTCCTTATAAAATCCAGTTTTACCAAGAACCCTTCTAAATCAGGTTAACAAGAATCCACTCTCCTCACTGTCTAATCACCCTGGCCTGCTTTCAACAAGAATCCTGTAGCCGGAATCACGCTTACACCCAGTGTTACCTTTGAGTAATTTTCCACCCACAGACTCCACCCCCTGCTCTTGGCTAAAAATCCCACTTGCCCATGCTATACTGTATTGGGAATTGAACCCATTTTCCCTCTGTCACTGCAAAATCCCATTGCAGTGATTCTTGTGTTTAACGTGATATACCTGAGTAAAGTCTTTGAAAGCAAGATAAGAATCACTTTTTTTCTTAAGGTAGGAAAAAGTAAGCATATTAAAAAAAGTTTTTAAGCCAAGCAAAAAATATTTTACATATTTACTTTTCAGTGTAGGGTTGGAAATCCTTGCATTCATGTTAGAGGGTAAGAATAGATGAAATATAAAAAGATGAAAGAGTAGAGACAAGAAATAAAATAAGATTAAGTATAAAATCATAGATGAAAACATATGGAAAGACAAATCAAAAGAGAGAGATATCCCAATACTTCAGCCCTCCCCTGACGTAGATAATTGTAAGAACAATGAGAAAACGGGCCAGCAGGTGGCGTGGTGGTTAAGGTGCTGGACACTCCCACATGGCCGACCACGGTTTGAGTACCGGGCCTGGTGGCTTGCTTTATCATTTTCCTTCTCTCTCTCTCTGTATATATTTCTCTGATCAAATTAAAGAAATGAATGAATAAATAAAATTAAATAATATTTTAAAAAAGAACAATGAGAAAACAGAAGATATGTGAACTTTCCATCTTCTGACATTTTACAGAGCCTTGAAGAACTATGTTATTTTTCTATAAAATGAAAGCAGAAAATAGGGATACTTAAAGTTTACCTGAAAGGCTGATTAAAATTCAGATCAACTTACCACTAAACTAGTTTCTCCTAAAGAACTCTTCTAAGTGTTCTGTTTTATCCTATCTTAGTTTCTTGATTTTTTGGAAATACTGATACCTAATCTTTTGGCTCAGTTTTGAAAATTTTAGTAGTTTGGAAATTTTAGCATTCTTTATAGGTGGAATCTTTGGTGTTAAAGATGTTATTTGGATATTATTGTAAAAGAGTTTTATGTTGATAATACTTGTTGCTCACAGTTGTATTTTTTTTTTTTTAATTTAGATCACATACCTGCGACTCAGAATGAACAGGAAAACAAATCATATGCATTTCCCTCTACATCATATGAAAACTCCATTCCAGAAGACTGTACATTTCTGTATGTATACAAATGATTAATATTGTTCATGCTTTTGCTCATAGAGACTTAATCTTTCTAAATAATTTGACGTACCAATAGGTAAAATAAGTAAAGAAAATCTCTTTCCACTGAACCCTTTAAAGTTGTAAGTTTTAGTATTTGATGTTGGATTGGGTTCTTGAGTATCTTAATAGATTTTTTTTATTTTTGTAGGCATGCAGGAAATATTTGACAAATGGATGAATGAATAAGCCCTCCAATAAAAAGTAGATGAAATGTATGAATAGCTATTTCATTAGAAGAAGTTAAAATGTCAAAACCCAAGAAATTATATTCAAATTCCTTATTATTTAGAGAAAAATAAGTAATAAAATATTTTTATGTATTAAATTGGTTTAAAAATATAAAATCCTATTAGTTACACCAGCATTTATACATGCTTATGAGAATGTAAATTGGTCCAGCCTTTTTGGAAAGTGGTTAGGAGTCCCCATGGACTAAACTGTGTACATACCTCAGGCCAGCCAGGTGGTGTGGTTGAGGCGACTGGATCTCACATGGCTAACTGCACGGTTCGAGTTCTGGACCCAGCAGCTTGAAAAACACCAAGTACGTGTGCGTGAGGGCCCAGATTCCCAAGAGGAGAATGGAGGACAAGGACTTGTGGTGTGGTCATCTTCCTGGGGTGGGGGAGTGGTATTTCTTTCTCTCTCTCTCTCTCTCTCTCTGTCTCTCTCTGTTTCTGGCTGTGTACATACTTTATAGCAATTTTTTTAAAAAAAATGTGGGTACCTCTTTGTACCATTGTGGTCCTATGTGTCATTTCCCATTAAATGAAACCATGGTTCTTTGGAGAAATGTCTGATTGCAAACCTGGGACAGACATCTTGTAAAAAACAAAAACTATCAAAGACTAGTGGTTGTATTAGAACTTGAGGGAGTTCCAGCTGACCAAAAGTGGCATAATTTGAACATCAAAAAGAATAATCTTTGTGATTTATATAAGCACATTAAATATATAAAAATCCATGAGTTTATAATAAAGATAACATTTTAAAGACCAGTCACGGGACCAGCAGTTGGTATAATGGTTACCTCATTGAACTCCCACGTAGTCAACCATAGTTCAAGTCCTAGACACGGTGGCTTAAAACTCATGCTGGGCACATGTGCGTTTGTGCCCAAATCCTGAGAGGAGAATGGAGAAGTGATGTAGGCATGACCATCCCCCTGGGGGATGGTTTCTTGCCGGAGACCTGCTCCAGCTGGGGTGGGTTGACCTGACGGAGGCGACGCGGGTGAGAAAAAATCAGACTGAGACCTCAATGCTCTCTAGCATGTTCTCAGCTGACTACAGTCAGAGCGAGCTCAAGACTGCAGCCTCTATGGCCAGGAATCATACATATTTATTGGGGGATGTTTACAGGGGTAGGAGGGGTGAGGGGGAAATAAAAGATTTTACTCTAGGTAATGGGGTATTCAAAACATGGGAACAATAATCATAAACATGATGTGCTGTTCTTGTTTGATCAGTTGTTATCAATCACAGTCCTCAGGGCGGGAGAGTCCATTTGTCCTGTACATTTTCTTCTTGGATCATGATTACCGGGTAGGGCCTTTTGAATGAGGGGGTTTTCAGCAAGCTTGGTAACTTCACCCCCAGGTCAGGGCGGCAGCAGATTGCAGTTACAAAGGCCTAGATAGAAATCTTATTCGATTAAGTAAAGACATGATTAATATATGCTAAAAAGGAACATTTATATTGTTTCTACGGTATTTTACAGCTAAGAGGATGAGCCTATTGCTCATATGGGAAAGGAATGTGGTCTTGTGAGCAGTTTAATGATTAACCGAAAGGTTATTATGTAGTGAACCTGAGAGGGACTTCAGTATTGTTTATTGTTATTTTCCAGGCAGGTGGGGTGAGTCTTAATTCCCATTCACCTCCACCTTAGGGATACGCAGTCTCTTAGGATTATTAATTGTAAAAGTTATAGTAAGGCTGGGGGTTATTTCACCCATACGGGGTACCATGATGACAGCAAAGCCCATGGCAGGGAGATTAAAAACACAAACCAGTACCGCAAACACAGTTGGAACCTTGAGCTCTAGCTGTCGTCCTGCGTACAGCTTTTTCTCAGCCAAGCCTTGCTTAAGCTTGAGAGATAGCTCTTTATATTCTGCCTGTGTTAGCCACATGGCCCCCGTCAGTTTCTTGCTTTCTCTCTCTGATTCTCTCTCTGGTGAGTACACGTACCCTGTAGCAAAAATCTCTCTCTTAAAAAAAAAAAAAAGAGTCATTTTGTCAGTTGCTAGGATACAGCTCATTATTATGAATATTAGTAAAAAAGAATCAAGCATTTATCCTGCCTTTACTATTATATGTCAGGAAGAGTTGGTGAAGAAAAAAAATTTTTAAGCTTTTCTTTCATAACAAAGGTAGAGAAAGACAAGTACTCTCAGCAAGGTCTCACATCATGATTCCCACCCCTTCCCCCTAACCTTCCCAGCTAGCCCTGATCATGGATGTGCAAACCTGGTGTGTTCAGGTTAACCAGACCAGGGAACCAAACCCATGATCCTCCTTGTAGATATGGCATTGCTTATGTAACATGTTACCACTGTGTCACTGAATTGGCCTGAAAATTGTTTTTCTTATAAACAAATTCCAGCCAGAAAATGCAGTAGAAGTGATACAGTTAGAAGATTGTTATTTTTATAACTTCCATCTCTAGTCCTTACCACCCACCCTACCCTCCCAGAAAAAATGGTGGACTTAGACTAATGTTCCCAAAAGAACTGTGGGAAGAATAGGTGTTTTCTTTTTTTTATAACCTTCCAGTTTATTGAAGAGCAGTGCTCTTGTAAAATGCAATGAAATGTTGTGGCAATGTTAAATTGCTATTTAACTTTCAAAAATTTTTTAATTTTTCGGTGATCAGGAATTGGTAGCAAACCCTTGTGGACTGGCACCACCAACTGTACTTTAAGTAGCACTGGCCTGTGATCATAAGAGAATGCCATAATCAGTAAATAAAAAGTTCATGACAGTCTTTACAATGAATCAATGATGGATTTGGCTGAAAACACTCAAACCTATGTATTTATTTTAGTATCACTAAAAAAGAGAGCTTGGCATTGTGTGCCTCCTGATATGCAATAGGAAATTCATAACTACTTATGAATTATTCTTGTCTCCTCTAGACCCCCAATTTCTTCTCCTTAAAGAATTATTTATTTCATTTTATTTGTCATCATCATTATTATTATTTTGGTACAAGGAACATACGCACTCACCAGAAAGAGAGAGGGAAAGTGAGAACGCAAGAAGCCAAGTCTGGGACTCAAACCATGGTCATGTGGGAGTCCGGAGCCTTAACCGTCATGCCCTCTGCTGGCCCCCAATGCCCCTTTCAACCTGAATCTAATGAAGCTTCTATAACTGACTGCCATTTACTGGGAATTCAAGGGATAGAGGAGTGGGCTAAGTACAGCCTCGCAAGGAAGGCATCAGCCAAGTTCTGGACTGTGGGCAGTGCTACAGGGCAAATGACCCAATGACTTAAAATGTCATAACATGGAAAGGGAGGGATCTACTACTAGATCAGGCTAACTTTTATGGTTGATTATATGAACTGAACTGAGTTTACTCATTGCTAAATTACCAAAGCTTTATTTTATCCTGCCCCCTGCCCCCATGAGGAACAGTTATGCTGCAGTCCCTGTGGCTGGTGTGTTTTTCAAGGCTCTGGGTCCTGGCACTCAAGCCTTGTGGTTGGTTATATAGGATCCAGCCACTTTAACTATCACTCCACCAGCTGGCCCTGTGTTGTAATTTCAAACAAAATTTTTTTTAACATTTGCTAGAAGGTACAGGGCACTCTCAGAGAGAGAAAGAGAGAGAGAGAGAGAGAGAAAGCATCCCCGTGGGGATAGGGGGAATGGCCACCCTGCAATCCCTTCTCTGTGTCTCCTGTTGGGATTTTGGGCATGCAGGCGTATGTGCTGGCACATTTTTCAAGCCACTGGGTCCAAAACTCAGATCACACAATGGGCCAGGTGGGCTTCAGCCACTCTGATCATCATGTTGTAAATTTAAAGGCAAGAGATTCTTATGTTTTTGACTAATTCTATATCCTAAAACTTAAAATTTTGAAGACTGACACTATATTAGTCATATTGTAGGAAAAGATTCTTCTGGGTTTTCTTTAAATTTATCTGCCTAATTGGCAGGCTTGTGTATGTTCTGATTTCTTGGGACTTCTTTCACCATGTTTTTAAGAGGCACAGGGCTGGCCATTTGAGGGGCATCTCTTCTTTCTCTTCTAAAATAATTTAAGATAATCTTACCATACAAAGAATACTTACAGATCAAGAAAAAAAAAATCAGTTGTCCAGAAGAAAAATGAGGCACTTTTTACAAAAGGCTGACACCGAGGGACCAGCAGTTGGCATAATGATTATGTCACTGGACTCCCATGTACTTGACTTTGGTTCGAGTTCCAGACTTGGTGACTTAATCTCAGGCCGGGCGCGTGTGCTTGTGTGCCCAAGATCCTGAGAGGAGAATGGAGGAGAAGGGATTGTGGTGTGTCCATCCCCCTGGGGGTGATTTCTTGCTTTCTGTCTCTGTGTCTCTGTCTCTCTGGTGAGCACATGCACCCTATAGTGGGGGGGGGAAAAAAACAAACTCCAAAAATAATAAAAAAACAAAAGGCTGACACCTGGGCTCTGAAACATTAGACTGAGAGGTAAGGATTACAGACGCCAGCTCCAGGTTGCCTGGATTTGATTCCTGACTCTCCCTCTTACAGTTTGAGCCAATTCTTAAAATCTGTTAAGCTCAATTTCCATACTGATAAAGTGAGGATTGAATAATAAATATAAAAATATTTTACATAATGCTCACATAGAGCTCAATAATTGTTAGTTTTATTGCTGTTGTTGATATGGTGTCCAACCTTATTTATTGTAGGAGAAATGCCAGTTTAAAGGAATCTGAGATACCATGATAACACATTGGATGTGGAATGGGCATGAATCAGCAGGTGGAAAATGAATATTTTGAGAGGACCAAGCATAGATTTCAGAAGATTTTTGCACCAAAATAAAACTGTACTTTAATTCCATTTTTCATAAACTTTTTGAAGTCCCCTCAAATTGGTACTTCTTTACTGTTTCAAACAGCTGTCGCAGGTAGAGAAGGGCCAGTTCAATGGCACAGCCATAACACACTGCTTGAATGAAGCTGGATCCATGTAGAATATTGCGGGCTCAGTTCCTCGGCTGACCTATACACACAAATGTGCGTGTCCACTGTCCCAACTGCCTGGAAAGAGAGGGTGCAATGCTGTAAGGTTAAAGAGATATGATAAATGTCTGAATCAATGGGGGCTTCCTTAATTCAGGAGATAGGAAGATTGGACATTGAAATTATGTATCTTTAAGAACTTAGTCTGTTAGGAATGCATAATTCAGCTATCTCAGGCTAAAAAGTGATGTCTGGGATTTTTTTTAAAATACTGCATAAAAAGTAAGTGTGTGGGCACCAGTAGGTGGCATGGTTTGTGTCCCATATCTAGCGACTTGAAAATCATGCCAGACCCATGTGCATGCTTGCCCAGAGTCCCACGAGGAGAATAGAGGAGAAGGGGTTTCAGTGTGGCCTTCGCCCTTGGGTGGTGATTTCATACTTCCCTTCTCAGCTTGTCTCTCTGGGTAGCACACATGCTCTATGACAAAAAACCTTTAAAAAAAAAAAAAAGTAAACCTGTGTTTCAGGGCAGAGTTAGAGTGAGAGAAAGAAAATAAAATAAAATAGGCAAAATGTTCATAGTAATTGAAGCTTGGTAACAAGAGTCAAAGATAAACAAAGTTGGACATTAATTGAAGTGATGAAAACAGATCTTTTTAGTTACTACTGACAGTAGGAGAAAGAACTGAACACCAGTCTCATTTGTGTAAAAGTGACTGGGCATTTTAATGGGGCAGCGAGAGAGTAGAGGGCAGTCAGGGACTTAAGTGAAAAATTACAAGGGGTTGGTCAGTGAGAATGTGATTAGGCCAGCTGTATCTGCTAGCTGCAGTAATGGGAGTTGGTATTCCATCCTCTCATGGAGACCTGGAGAGGGATGTATCATCCTTCCTGATAATTATGTTTCAAAGGAATGACTTATTCAGGTCTTTAAGGAAGATACTCCTGAGTAGGAGATACATGTAAATCTCAAAGGGAGGGAGGACATATTGCGGGGGACAACATAGTCCTTTTTAGTAAATTCTCTAATAAAGGAGGTCAGAGGTTGGCAACAAGTTGTAAGTTCTCCTGGTAGAGATGGGCTTTCTCAGGTAGGCATTTAAGAAGGGGCCAGGGTCATCCTAGAGACATGACCTAAAGCTGCTAAAAACCATGCCAGAGTTTAGTCAACTTTTATTTCAGAAGTAAGGACAGAGTTAGGTGCCAGGAGTTCTGCTGTTCTCACAGCTATGTGGGACTCCAGTATTATCTCTCTTGATGAGAAATATACACTCATATGTTTATTTGAAAGTTTCATTAGTAAGTTTTTTTAAGTATATATTTCATTGATTTACTAATTTATTTTTAAGGAGTGTATCCTAAGGTAATAATTAGACATTTGGTCAAGGACTTGTATGTGAGGATGTTTATCAAAGTAGCAGCAAAGAGAAAGATTGAAAACAATTTTTAAGTGCTAGCACTTAAAAATTTATAAATAAAACATCCTTTTACCTGTTAGACTATCCAAAATCCAAAAGCATCATGTCTCACTTGGTAAATGAAACTGAAAGCAGGTACTCCCTCTAGATTGCCGAAGGGGCTGACCCCATGGGGAGCAATTAGGCAATACTAACAAAATTACTAATCCATTTACCTTGTGACTCAGCACTTCCATATTTGAGATTATATTCAACAGCAGCATCGTACTATATGAAATTGTTACATACAAGGTTATTTCTTACATCTAAATAAATTATGGAAATTATATACAGGGGATTAGTATTTAATTGGAAAAGGGATGAGGATGTTCTCTATCTGCACATCTAATAGAGTAGCCAGTGGCTATATGTGACTATTTAAATTTGAATTAACTAATTAAAATTAAAACTTAAAATTCTGTGTTTTGGTATATCAGCCACATTTAAAAGTACGGCTAGTGGTTACCATATTGGACAGCACAATATAGACTATTTCCATCAGTGAAGAAAATTTTGTTGGGCATGATTGCATACTATTATGAATATTTTTACATCTCTAAAATACCTGTATTTTGATTAAGGTAACAGATACCTAGAGATAGAGAAAAAATATTATGTAAATCAAAACTTAGGTTCTTTGTCAAAGTTTAAAACCAGAGTTCTGAACATGGAATCTTTCATAGATTTTTTTTTTTCTTAAAAATCAATATGCACTTCATTTTCTCCTGTCATCTTGCCATTTTCAGGTGTGTATGATTGCCAGGTAGAGTACATATTACGGGAAAAAATTCACTTGGTACATTTGTTGGAGACAACATTAAAGTTTTCTTGACTGATAATTAGGCTACCCCTTATTGTTTTTTGTAGGCAAAAAACTTAAATCAAGCTTGTCTAAATTAACCTCCTCAGCTCTTTACTAAGTTCATACTGAACATGAACTCTTAAATATGCTAAGTATTTAAAGTAGGTAACAGAAAGTTACAGTTACAATCACAGTAATTCCTGGAATATCCAGAAATCAGGAATAATCTTTAGATGGAGAATGTAATAAAATATTTATTTCAGAGTCTGGCTTACTTTAGTGTTATCTAAGACGATAACAATAACTAATCCTTTGTGCTTTTAAAACAAACTATATTGGATTGAGAAGGCCTTCATACTCACATACTTGAGTTCTTTTGTTCTTTTTTTTTAATGACTTATTTAATTCCATTTGTTGTTGTTATTATTTTTTAATTTGACCAGAGAGTGTGGTAGAGTGCTACCGAATGAACTACCACCAGAGCCAGATTAAGAGTAAAGGAAGTCGTGGGACCAGCAGTTAGCATAATGGCTATGTTGCTGGATTCCCATGTAGTCGACCGCGGTTCCAGTCCCGGACCCGGTGGCTTAAACTCACGCCAGGTGCATGTGCATGCGTGCCCATGATCCCGAGAGGAGAATGGAGGAGAAGGGATTGCGGCCTGGCCATACCCCTTGGGGGGTGATTTCTTGCTTTCTGTCTCTCTCTCTCTCTCTCTCTCTCTCTCTCTGTCTGTCTGGCAAGCGCGCATGCACCCTATAGCAAAAAACCTCGGGGGTGAGGTGGGGGCAGAGATTAAAGGGAGTCTTTATTAGCTGGCCAGAGACTACAGCCTGAGGCTCTGGGGCCGAGGGTCAGAATTGCAGCCCTGACTAAAGTTTGAGTAGTCTTTTTATAGGGGGTCAGTTACCAGGGGTTTCTATGCAACCAGTTACAGAAGCTGAATCAAGCAGGTTAATTATTTCTGAGGGGAGGGGGGTTTCCATGTAAGCAGTTACATTGCTAAACAAAAGGGTTTGGGGCTAGTTAGCAAAGACAGTAGCAGGTACGAGGTGTTGTCCTGGATATTATTTTCTGTATGGCTAGCACAAGATATTTTCTTATGGGAAGAGCAAGCAGGTTTACAGAAGCAGACAGCCATGTTAGGATAAGGGAACAAAATGGACAGTTGTTCATGTGCGAGATCTAATATGCGGTCTTCCACAAAGAGAGAGAAGGGGAGAGGGAGAAAGCAAGGCACCAGATCCAGAACTTGAACCAGTCAGCCATGTGGGAATCCAGCGCCCTTGACCACCATACCACCTGCCAGCCCCCATACTTGAGTTCTTATAAACAAACCACAACCTAACTTAGGAGTCTGTTTCCTTAACTAGTAATTGAGTCACAGGTGTATTGTTTTACTCACTTTTACATAGTTCACTGTTTAAACTGTTCAAACAGAAAAACTCCAACCTGTACCAATCCAGCTGTTTCTCTGCCTCACTTCTGTTTTTATTAGGTTGTTTCCCCTTTCCTGTCCATAAATTTAAGCAGACAGCAGCTTAAAGTTTCTCAGAACCAGTCAGTGCTGGGGGCTGACTGGTTCCTGAATTGTTCTTTGTTCAGTTAAGCTCTACTAAATTAAATTTTTCTGAAGTTTTTTCCTTTATCAATGTACAGTATTTTTTTAAATGAGGAATTGTGCTGATAAGTAATTTTATTTTAACAGATCTACAGAAAATAAGGAAATTCTCCCTTTGAAAAATGAAGTTGTAGACTTTAGAGAAAAAGAATCATCTTTGAATTTATCTTACCAAAGTCATGACTGCTCTGATGCCTGTCTGACGAAAATGCCCCCAGTCTTCAAGGGAGAAAACCCTTTGCAGCTACCAATCAAATGTAACTTCCAACGACGACATGCGAAGACAAACTCTCATTCCTCAGCACTCCATGTGAGTTATAAAACCCCTTGTGGAAGGAGTCTTCGAAACGTGGAGGAAGTTTTTCGTTACCTGCTTGAGACAGAGTGTAACTTTCTATTTACAGATAACTTTTCTTTCAATACCTATGTTCAGTTGACTCGGAATTATCCAAAGCAAGAAGAAATTGTTTCTGATGTGGATATTAGCAATGGAGTGGAATCAGTGCCCATTTCTTTCTGTAATGAAATTGACAATAGAAAGCTTCCACAGTTTAAGTACAGGAAGACTATGTGGCCACGAACATACTATCTAAACAGCTTTCCCAACATGTTTACTGACTCATGTGACTGTTCTGAGGGCTGCATAGACATGTGAGTAGAAAAACATGGCATTTCGAAAATTCTTCTGAATGAAGGGACACTTATCAAGAAATTCTGCCATGTATCAACTTGTCTGTCTGTCTATCTTTATCTAAGACCTGTTCACCAAGAGTATAAAAATGGAAAGGTGCACTCTTTCATTAGCAGTAGGAAAGAAAACTCTTCACCGAGTGTAGTAATTTAAAATTTACTTTCAAAGATGACTATTTCCTTTAATCAGTACCATAATCATAGTTATAGCAATTACAATAGATGGTATTTAACAGAACCGGATACTGTGGCCAGTACTTTACATATTAAATATTTGCTTATTAATTCTCATAAAAACCAATAAGGTAGGTAATATTAACTCTGTATTACAAATGAGGAATTAATGAGTCTCAGAAAAGTCAATTCAGGAAAATCATAAGATACACAACTTATAAAGCTAGGATTTGAACCTATTTTTTTAAAGAATTATTTATTCCTCTTTATTAGTTATTATTATTTTTTAAATTGACCAGAGAGAGAGAGAAAAGGAAATTGAGAAAGCAAGCTGCCAGGTTCAGGACTTGAAGCACAAGTCGGCCATCTATCACGCCATCTATCAGTCCCTGAACTCATGGTCCTGATCACTCTGTTACGTGTTGTATTTTATTTTACAAATCATGTAAAAATCATTTCCTGGCCAAGGACTGAGCCTGGAACAAAATGCATTATTCACAAATATGCAAATCTCTGCCAAACCCTTATGTTTTTATTAAGTAAAAGCTTCTCAATTTAGCCTCCCGAATCTGTTTCTTCCTCAAGACCATATGCTTCCAGAATCATCAGCTCAGTCACTTCCACCATCTAGTGGCAAGCGGCAGAAATGTACAGAATTTATATTTTAAAGTTTATTGATTTTTCCAAAATGGTAAGAATCAGTTTACTTTTCTACTGATAGTATTAGTAAAAACGTTATTTCTGGAAAAGAAAAAATACTTTTTTTTTTTTTTTTTTTTTTTAGTTAATGGTACTTATAACTTCATAGTATTGATATTCCAATTAAAAATGAAAACATATTATAATAAGACTTTGAAAAGCATTTACTTTAAGGGTACGTAATATACCGACATTGGTAGATACGCAGATGGAGAGTGGAACTGCATTATATGTACTTTTCATTTAATGCAAATTTAGTTACCTGTGCTAGGCAAAAGAATAAGAGAAATAGTTTAAATAGTATAGATAATAGTTTTTATAGTTATCTCAGAGGATACACAGATATAAACCTGCTGTTACCTCAGTTTGGCTCATTTTCTTTAGGCTTCTTACAGAGAGCACATCTTACTGTGCTCAGTTTTATTCTTTAAATTTTAAAGTATTTTATTTTGTAAATAATGCCTGTAAATGTAACTCAGTTACATCATATGCACACTGGGCTCTATGGGGGATAGAAACAGGTACCTATGTAAGACTGAGAGCTAGGATAATATCTCCTAGGGCCTGGAACTATATTGATAAAAACTTGATTTATAGCTATGAACCCAGAGCCAGAGTAAGAGTCAAGGCAATGATGCAAGCATCCAATATAGAGGAGCATGCCAGAACAAACCCCATAGAAGGTATGATTTCAAATAAAAAATGTAAGCACATAAAGATGTTGAACCAGCAGATGATGTGTTGGATAAGGCAGATGGACCAGCATGACCAACAGCACAGTTCAAGCCCCAGGCCCAGAGGTTTGAAAAACGTGCCAGGTGCCTATATGTGTATGCCCAAAATCCATAAAGGAGAATGGAAGAGAACAGATTACAGCCTGGCCATCCCCCTGGTAGGGGAGCTTTCTCACTTTCCTTCTCTCTCTCCTCCATCTCCAGCAAGTACACACATCCTATAGCAAAAAAAATTTTTTAAAAGTATGTTTAGGGTTATGAAGGCAGCATGAGTTTCAGCAAACTGAGAGACTTCACCTAAAGAATCAGAGACAAATGTAAAATCGAATTAACAAGGACTTGAATATAGGTATGTTTAGAACATCCAGGAAAACATATGCATTAAGAAAATGAGATTTTCATATGAAAATATATGAATTCAGAAAAGGAGATTTTAAAAAGAAAGATGTTACACATGAAAAAGAACTGTTTAGAAATATGGAAAATAGAGGCCAGCAGGTGGCATGGTGGTTAAGGCACTGGACACCCAATGGCCAACCGAGATTTGAGTCCTGGACCTGGTGGCTTGCTTTTTCATTCTCCCTTTCTCTCACTTTCCCTCTGTCTCTCTCTAGTAAAATTGAAGAATAACAATAAATAAATAAAATGGCATTGCTGTCTTAAAAAAAATAGAACTATGGAAAATAAAAGATATAGTCATTGAAATAAAAAATAAATGATTTAAATGGTAGTATTGGTATAACTGAGTAAAGAATTAATGAATTGGAAAGCAAAACTAAGGAGATCTACCACAATGCAAGAAAATAAAGGGGGGGTAACTTACACATTAAAAAATATGGAGCCTAAAATAAGAAATTTCATCATATATCTGAGAAAATGAGAATTGCAGGGATCTTTTTTTTTTCCTTTATAAGAGAGTTAAAAGACAGAGGTTCTTGGGTTGCAAAAGCCTATTCTACAATGAAGGGAAAATAAGATAGCTATGCATCTGAATATATCATGATGTAACTTCAGAAGTGTCTCAACTACAGTAAACCTCACAGGCTATAAGACAAGAAAGATAGATTTCCAACAAAGGAAATAGAGATCAACGACATTCGTTATCAGAAAAAATGGAAGGTCAAAAAATGGCAAAGCTTAAAGTTCTGAAGGAAAAGAAGTATAAACTAAATTCTATACTCATTTACTTAAAGGATGTGTGTGGGTGGGTATGATTTTTATTTTTCAATTATATAGCAATTGAAGACATGTATACCTATTTTCTAGCAACAATACTTTTAGGTACATTTATATCATCATTTCCCAAACTACAAGTATATTGAGATAGAAAATTATTTAAAGGGTTATAAACTAGCATTTTTAAAGTTAAATAGTAGAGAAAATACCCAAGTCCACCACGCATAAGGGTCAAGTTTCATCCCATGCCACTATTGTTTTAGCTCAATACATACACACACATATGTATGTACAAGATCATGAAGAAAATGTATTTTTTTTAATAATTCTTTTATTTTAAACTTTATCCATTTATTTATTTTAATTTGACCAGAGAGGGACAGAGTGAGAGAAAAAGGGAAAGTGAGAAAGCAAGCCACCTATATCTATCTCTCTCTGAGATAAAGACTCTCAAATATTTTTGACTATGGCCCACAATAAGAAATACATTTTCATGGTGGTTAAGGACTGGACTCCCACATGGCTGACCACAGTTCTAGTCCCTTAAAAACACTTTTTAATGGGGCCGGCAAGTGGCGTGGTGGTTAAAGGCGCTGGACTCCCACATGGCCGACCATGGTTCAAGTCTCGGACCTGGTGGCTTGCTTTCTCACTTCCTCTCTCTCTCTCTCTCTCTCTCTCTCAGATCAAACTGAAAAATAATAATGATATAATAATAAATAAAGTTAAATAAAAATAATTCTTTTAAGAAAAAACAACAACACTTTTTAAAAGAGAACCATATATACGATATGTATGTTTTAAATTATGTACATAGAGGGACCAGCAGATGGCATAATGGTTACGTCACTGGACTCCCATTTAGTCAACCATGGTTCGAGTCCCAGACCCTGTGGCTTAAAACTCACACCAGGTGCATGTGTGTGTGTGCTCCTGAAAGGAGAATGGAGGAGAAGGGATTTTAGCATGGCTATCCTAACCTAGGTGATGTGATTTCTCTCTTTCTTTCTCTGTCTTTGTCTCTCTTTTCGGTGAACACAGGCCCTATAGCAACAAATCTCTCTCTTTTTTTTTGGAGAGTTGTTTTTTTTGTTTTTTGGGGTTTTTTTGCTATAGGACGTGTGTGCTCTCCAGACAGACAGAGAGAGACAGAGGCAGAAAGCGAGAAATCACCCCTCAGGAGAGATGGCCACGGCACAATCCCTTCTCCTTCATTCTCCTCTTGGGATTTTGGGCGCGCACGCACACACGCCTGTCATGAGTTTTAAGCCACCAGTTCCAGGACTCGAACTGCAGTCGTCTACATGGGAGTCCAGTGCCATAGCCATTACGCTAGCTGCTGGTTCCTAAGTATCTCTTTTTAAAAACAAATTATATACATAAGAAAAAGAGCTAGACGAATGCTAACACATAATTCTTGGTGGTGGAAGTTGGGGTGTTTATCATATCATTTGTATTTTTCTGTACTTTTCAAACCTTGAAACAAAAATCACATAAAGAAAAAACTAAGTTTAAACAGCTGAAGATTTATATTTGTAAACAAAGCCCAAATTAATAGCACTATCTATTTCTTTTCTATTACAAACAGCAGCCACCACTCTCACGTATTTATGTATATACAGAAAATATAGAAGAGAATCATAGCAGAAAAGACTTTAAAGTCACTTGTTCAACAAAGGAAACTAAGATCCAAAGATTTTTAACTAGCCCTCCAATAGTCACTTACCTAGTCCATCGCTGGAATACTCAGGTTCCTTACTCTCCAGCAGGTTAATGAGTTCCTGTGAAGTTAGATAATCATCTAAATACAATTAGAGAAATACATAGATTAAATTTTATGGTTACAAGTTTCCTGCCTGACAACATTATAAAGAAAAAAGGATTTTAATAGTCAAGTGCCAGGACCAGCAGTTGGCGTAATGGCTATGTCACTAGACTCCCCTATAGTAGACCATGGTTTGAGTCCCAAACCTGGTAACTTAAACTCATGCTGGACGCATGTGTGTGCATGCCTAAGATCTCAAGAGGAGAATGGAGAAGCAGCAGCGTGGCCACCCCCTGGGGGGTGATTTCTCCCTTTCTGTCTGCCTCTCTATCTCTCTCTGTCTTTCTGGCGAGCGTACGCACCCTATAGCAAAAACCTCTCTAAATAAATAGTCAGGTACCCAGCATGATTCTCCCCAATCTGTTTTCATGTCACTGGAGTAAAAAGGAAGGTAAGATTATCTGCAGAACTGTGCTCTTAAAAATTTCACATAGATAAGTTTATCAATTGTAGCAGAACAAAAGCGGCAGAATATTCATAAACAAGGTTCTACTGAGCAGAAATTTAAAGGAATTCCTTTTGAAAAGTTGAAGGCGGGAACCACCAGTTAGCGTAATGGCTATGTCGCTGGACTCCCATGTAGTCCATCGCGGTTCGCGTCCTGGACCCGGTGGCTTAAAACTCACGCTGGGCCCATGTGCGTGCCCAAGATCCCAAGAGGAGAATGGAAGAGAAGGGATTGTGGCGTGACCGTCCCCCCTGGGGGGTGATTTCTCGCTTTCTGTCTCTATGTCTCTCTCTTGTCTGTCTGGTGAGCGCACGCGCCCTATAGTGAAAACCTCTCCAAAAAAAAAAAAAAGTTGAAGGAAACTCATGTAGATAATAAATATTTCATGGGTACAGAGGTGCAGCAGTTTGTAATCATTTATAAACTTTTGGTAGGTGTTGTCTTTCAAAGAGGTTTGTTCTGGGAAGAAGTGCATACTGTCCATGTACCCAACAACTGTTTCAAATACATCCTCTACTACATCATTTATGCTCCCATGAAGACATTCTCTTGAGTTAAGGTGGTGCTTTTTAAGTTCTGAATTCTATATTCATTGCCTTCCTTTTAGAACAAAATGTGCATGTCTTCAACTGACAGCAAGAAATGCTGGAATGTATCCCTTGGCAAGTAATAAAATGACCACTGGATATAAATATAAAAGACTACAGAGACATATACCTACTGGGTAAGACACGGGGATTTGTTTCAGGATGTTTGTATCTTTGAGGGTGGACACTTTTTTATTGTAGTCTGCAGTCTTACAGATGTTGTTGAATCTCAATTTTTAATACCAAAATTGAAATTTTTAAGGAATTTTTAAAAATTATATTTTTATCCAGTATGATATTTCATTCACTTGCTTTGAATCTGTCCTTAGCCCTCTAGGGTAAGCCTATTTTGGGCAGCCAGTTTCTCATAAAGAAATATATTGGGGGTGACCAGCAGTTAGCGTAATGGCTACGTCGCTGGACTCCCACGTAGTTGACCGCGGTTTGAGTCCCGGACCCGGTGGTTTAAACTCAACGCTGGGCGCGTGTGCATGCGTGCCCAAGATCCTGAGAGGAGAACAGAGGAGAAGGGATTGCGGCATGGCCATCCCCCCTGGGGGGTGATTTCTCGCTTTCTGTTTCTCTGTCTCTCTCTGTCTGTCTGGCGAATGCACGCACCCTATAGCAAAAACCTCTCCAAAAAAAGGAAAAAAGAAAGAAAGAAATATATTGGGTTGTCAGAAAAGTCATGACGTATTTTTTCTGTATTTTTCTATGTAAAAATGCATCATAGTTTTTCTGCCAACCCAATACTATGCAAATGCATTGAGAACTGGGAATTTTTGACTTCTCAAGGTTCTTATTAACCAATAACACCTTAGAGGCAGAAATAGAGAATTTTGTTCCTGGACATTTCTTTCCCAGACATTTTGGAAGAGCTACATTTACTGTGGCGTTTACTATATGCATTGTCTTAGGTAGATAGTGACTCACTAATCTTCATGAAACAGTCCTATGAGGTAGGTACTATCATATGATCCCCATTTTAAAAATGGAAAATTGAAGCACACAGCGTTAAATAATTCATCCAAGGTCACACAGTTAATGCATGTGGAAGCTGTGATGGGAACCAAGGTAGCCTGGCTCTAAGAGTGTTCATACTCAGTCTGTTTCCCTTAGCACCACTGAAGTAGCCATATAAACTACTTTTTGCTTTTGATGGACATATCTGATTGATTTTCTCTTTTACATGTTTTATTGACAGCATTTATGAATGCAGCTTGTTGTGTAAGTGTAATCGACAGATGTGTCAAAACCGAGTTGTCCAACATGGTCCTCAAGTGAGGCTACAGGTGTTTAAAACTGAGAAGAAGGGATGGGGGGTCCGCTGCCTAGATGACATTGACAGAGGGACGTTTGTATGCATTTATTCAGGTAAACAAAGGTTTATTTTAAACTATTCTATAGTAAGATCTATATTGCTGAATATCCAATTTTCCTAACCTGGACTGTTGAGATCTTATAGCTAGATGAAGAGCAAACGGTATCTAAGCAATGCCTTAGAAGCAGACAAATGACCAGGAACCTGAACACTGAAGTATTGAGAAGCCTTAAGTATTCAGATAAGACAGACTGAGAGAAAAATTGGCTTATTGCATGAAGTTATTGTTTGACAACTTGTTAGTTATAAGGTGTATGTGTGTGTGTGTATGTATATATATATATATCTATAGAGAGAGAGAGATTTGCAATAGGGCATGTCACTCACTGGAGAGACAGAGACAGAAAGTGAGAAGTCACCCCCCAGGGGGTATGCCGATGCTGTAGTCCCTTCTCCTCCATTCTCCTCTTGGGATTTTGGGCAAGTATGCACATGCACTCGGCATGAGTTTAAGCCACCAGATCCAGGACTTGAACCACAGTCAGCCATGTGGGAGTCCAGTGACATAACCATTATGCCATCATCTGGTCCCAAGGTATATTATTTTTTGTCTCCAAGGCTGCAGACACTTCAAGTTAAGGAATGAAATAACTGACTTGCTAAGATGAAGTTTTTCGAAGATTGTTTTGTTCCATGTTTTGAGCTATTATTAGATTTTAACAAGTTAATTTTATAGTAAGTATCTGCATATGATGATTCTGCAGTGACTTTAGGCAACTCATTGCATTTCAGACTCTTGAGAGTTAGCCAGCCTCCAGAGCAAATCTTCCCACGATGTGTTGCACTTGTGCAGTTACTCCAGCCACAGCCCCCAAGCCAAACACATCTGTCTCCAGTGTTTGCATCATTTACCTCAGCATGACAAGCAAAAATCCTCATTGTCTATGTGCACCAGCCTGTCAGAAAGGCAAAATGGCTTTAGACCCAGTCTAAAAGAAGTTCAGTGGACAGTGTCCTAACAGCTAGGCAGAAGGGACCAGAGTAGCCCTCCTAATCTGAAATTCACTTCAGGGAGGGCAAGGAGAAGTTCAGAGTTATCAGAACTCAGTCATCACTGTTGGATTCCTGTCACACAGTCACTTCACAGCCTGCTTAGACATTTATCTCCCAAAATAACCTAGATGAAAGCTATCTATAAAATTCCAAATGGTGTCAAGGAAGTATCATTGGCCTTATCTGCATTGCTGGAAGGTGCACTTAAGGTATCACTCTGATCTAATGATGGATAAGAATATCTAGCTGCTAATTTTGACTTCATAGTTAGGATTTTGAATCCCTGGAATGGAAATGCAAAAACTTTAGACTAAGATTTTAATATTATGCAGGACTTAATATGAAAACAATAGGTACATATTACCAGAGATTTAAATTTGTCATTTAAATATAAAATATAAAAAAGAGTGTAAGTTTAAAATGATAAAGCCTTTTTAACTTGACATAAAAGCTGTAATTTTCAGTTTAAAATTCACCTCTCTAATTTTCTTTTTTTTTTTTAAGAGAGATTTTTGCTATAGGGCGTGTGTGCTCACTAGACAGACAGAGAAACAAAAAGCAAGAAATCACCCCAGGGAGATGACCACACCACAATTTTTTTTCCCTCCGTTCTCCTCTCAGAATTTTGGGAATACCCAAGTGTCAAGCCATTGAGTCCAGGACTTGAACTGTGGTTGCCCACATGAATGTCTAGCTCCTCAAACACGGCGCCACCTGCTGGCCCTACCTCTCTAATTTTCTAGAATACTTTCTGATTTTTGTTTTTGTTTTATATTATTGTGTCTGAAACTTCTCTCGTTCATGTTATACCAAAGCAGATAAATGTTTCTCTTAGATATCCTGTACTTTCTCATTTACTACAAGTAAGAAATCTCTCATTGCTCTCAGTTAATGCATGTGGAAGCTGTGATGGGAACCAAGGTAGCCTGGCTCTAAGAGTGTTCATACTCAGTCTGTTTCCCTTAGCACCACTGAAGTAGCCATATAAACTACTTTTTGCTTTTGATGGACATATCTGATTGATTTTCTCTTTTACATGTTTTATTGACAGCATTTATGAATGCAGCTTGTTGTGTAAGTGTAATCGACAGATGTGTCAAAACCGAGTTGTCCAACATGGTCCTCAAGTGAGGCTACAGGTGTTTAAAACTGAGAAGAAGGGATGGGGGGTCCGCTGCCTAGATGACATTGACAGAGGGACGTTTGTATGCATTTATTCAGGTAAACAAAGGTTTATTTTAAACTATTCTATAGTAAGATCTATATTGCTGAATATCCAATTTTCCTAACCTGGACTGTTGAGATCTTATAGCTAGATGAAGAGCAAACGGTATCTAAGCAATGCCTTAGAAGCAGACAAATGACCAGGAACCTGAACACTGAAGTATTGAGAAGCCTTAAGTATTCAGATAAGACAGACTGAGAGAAAAATTGGCTTATTGCATGAAGTTATTGTTTGACAACTTGTTAGTTATAAGGTGTATGTGTGTGTGTGTATGTATATATATATATATCTATAGAGAGAGAGAGATTTGCAATAGGGCATGTCACTCACTGGAGAGACAGAGACAGAAAGTGAGAAGTCACCCCCCAGGGGGTATGCCGATGCTGTAGTCCCTTCTCCTCCATTCTCCTCTTGGGATTTTGGGCAAGTATGCACATGCACTCGGCATGAGTTTAAGCCACCAGATCCAGGACTTGAACCACAGTCAGCCATGTGGGAGTCCAGTGACATAACCATTATGCCATCATCTGGTCCCAAGGTATATTATTTTTTGTCTCCAAGGCTGCAGACACTTCAAGTTAAGGAATGAAATAACTGACTTGCTAAGATGAAGTTTTTCGAAGATTGTTTTGTTCCATGTTTTGAGCTATTATTAGATTTTAACAAGTTAATTTTATAGTAAGTATCTGCATATGATGATTCTGCAGTGACTTTAGGCAACTCATTGCATTTCAGACTCTTGAGAGTTAGCCAGCCTCCAGAGCAAATCTTCCCACGATGTGTTGCACTTGTGCAGTTACTCCAGCCACAGCCCCCAAGCCAAACACATCTGTCTCCAGTGTTTGCATCATTTACCTCAGCATGACAAGCAAAAATCCTCATTGTCTATGTGCACCAGCCTGTCAGAAAGGCAAAATGGCTTTAGACCCAGTCTAAAAGAAGTTCAGTGGACAGTGTCCTAACAGCTAGGCAGAAGGGACCAGAGTAGCCCTCCTAATCTGAAATTCACTTCAGGGAGGGCAAGGAGAAGTTCAGAGTTATCAGAACTCAGTCATCACTGTTGGATTCCTGTCACACAGTCACTTCACAGCCTGCTTAGACATTTATCTCCCAAAATAACCTAGATGAAAGCTATCTATAAAATTCCAAATGGTGTCAAGGAAGTATCATTGGCCTTATCTGCATTGCTGGAAGGTGCACTTAAGGTATCACTCTGATCTAATGATGGATAAGAATATCTAGCTGCTAATTTTGACTTCATAGTTAGGATTTTGAATCCCTGGAATGGAAATGCAAAAACTTTAGACTAAGATTTTAATATTATGCAGGACTTAATATGAAAACAATAGGTACATATTACCAGAGATTTAAATTTGTCATTTAAATATAAAATATAAAAAAGAGTGTAAGTTTAAAATGATAAAGCCTTTTTAACTTGACATAAAAGCTGTAATTTTCAGTTTAAAATTCACCTCTCTAATTTTCTTTTTTTTTTTTAAGAGAGATTTTTGCTATAGGGCGTGTGTGCTCACTAGACAGACAGAGAAACAAAAAGCAAGAAATCACCCCAGGGAGATGACCACACCACAATTTTTTTTCCCTCCGTTCTCCTCTCAGAATTTTGGGAATACCCAAGTGTCAAGCCATTGAGTCCAGGACTTGAACTGTGGTTGACCACATGAATGTCTAGCTCCTCAAACACGGCGCCACCTGCTGGCCCTACCTCTCTAATTTTCTAGAATACTTTCTGATTTTTGTTTTTGTTTTATATTATTGTGTCTGAAACTTCTCTCGTTCATGTTATACCAAAGCAGATAAATGTTTCTCTTAGATATCCTGTACTTTCTCATTTACTACAAGTAAGAAATCTCTCATTGCTCTTCTTTATTCTTGCAACAGTTTTCTAGGATTAGTTCATGTGTTTATGTTCAGTCTAGAAATAAAGTATAAGCACAGGATTCTGTAGTCATGGAACAGAAAGAAATACCATTTGTTGTTAGCAATTATAATATCTTCTGTATTGTTCAAACTGTTTTACTTTTTTCTTTTAGGAAGATTGTTAAGCAGAGTTAATGAGGAAAATGAGAAAGAAAAGCATATGAAAAAAATATTTCCACAAAAGAGGAAAATAGAATCTGCGTGTTCAGATTGTGAGGTTGAAATTATTCCAGTAGAGTTGGAAACACATCCTAAAAGTGCGGACACTGAGGAATGTCCACCTAAGCTCAGTAATAATCTGAAAGAGCCTATTAAGTAAGTAAGAGTTTAGTAACTCAAAGTTATTCTAAATTATTGTTGATCAAGAGTGATTTTCCTTTTCTTTTTAGGTTTTTCCATAGAATGCGAGTGTTTGCCACAGAGAGGAAAGGGACAAAACTACACCCCAGGGGGGCATGGCCATGCACACACACATGCTAGGCATGCTTTTCAAGCCGCCAGGTCCAGAAACTCAAACTGTGGTCAGCCATGTGAGAATCCACACACCTGCTAATGCCTGGTTTTTTTTCCTTTCTTTCTTTCTTTTTTTTTTTTTTTTTTTTTTTTTGATTGAGAGCTGACTCTCAATAAATCACAGCAAGGGTGCTGCTCTGCTACGTATGAAACCCTGACCCTCTTTTCATTAAGTTTGGTTTATTTATGTATTTCAAGATGGAAAGGGAGAATCATGTACCTTTGATGGGATCTTGCCACACCTTAATTCACCCCCATCCTTCTAACCAGCCAGGGTTGTAGACTCAGCTGGCATGTTCAGGTCAACCTAGGATCTAAACCCAGGGCCTCCCATTTAGCTACAGTATCACACAGTAGCACCCTACCACCTGGGCCATCTTCCTTCCTTTAACCTCCACTCTATCATTTTACTTCCCTGGAGTTTAACACTTTGAGAAATCTAGGGCAATTAAAAATCTAGCTGAGGCCAACAGGTGGCATAGTGGTTAAGGCACTGATTGTGGTTCGAGCCCTAGACCCAACAGCTTAAAAAATCATGCTGGATGTGAATGTGTGCATACCCAAAATCCTAAAAGAATGAAGGAGAGGGGATTGCAATGTGGCCATCCTCCCTGAGGATGATTTCTCACATTCTCTCTCTCTCTGGCTCTATGGCAAACTTACACAGCCTGTGAGAAAACCTAAGAAAAGGAAAAAATTTTGCCAACAATGGGCCAGCAGATGTGTGCTGGTTAAGGTGCCAGATCCCACATGACCTTTTCCACAGTTCAAGTCCCGGACCTGGTAGCTTGAAAAACACACTGGACATGTGTGCATGTGTGTCCAAAATCCTGAGAAAAGAATGGAGAAGGGGTTGTAATATAGCCATCTCCCTGGGGGGGGAGGGTACTTTCCCTCTATCTCTCTAGCAAATGCACACTATGGCAAAAATCTTAAAAAAATAAAATAAAAAAGACTTAGCCAACATACTTTCCTCAGTTTTCCATTTCTAGAGTTTTGCCTTTTTATCTTATGACTTTAATCAGATTTTATATGAATGTCATAAGTTTTGATGTTGTTTTTCTTGTCTGTCAGCAGTCTGTTTGCAAAGCTTTTTTTTTTTTTTTGATCTTTTTTTTTTTTGAGAGGTTTTTGCTACAGAGCGCGTGCACTCGCCAGAAAGACAGAGAGACAGAGAGACAGAAAGCAAGAAATCACCCCCCCAGTGGGGATGACCACACCACAACCCCTTCTCTTCCATTCTCCTCTCGGGATCTTGGGCACGCACGCCCTCACGCACATGCGCCCGGCGTGAGTTTAAGCCACTGGGTCCGGGACTTGAACAGCAGTAGACTACATGGGAGTTAGGTGACATAGCCATTAAGCTAACTGCTGGTCCCTGCAAAGCGTTCATAAATCTACTTCCCCTTTTAAAAAACTTTAAAATTTAATCACTTTAAAATATTTCTGGGACCAGCAGTTAGTGTAATGGCTATGTCGCTGGACTCCCACATAGTCGACCGCGGTTCGAGTCCCGGACCCGGTGGCTTAAACTCACTGCGTGTGCATGCGTGCCCAAGATCCCGAGAGGAGAATGGAGGAGAAGGGATTGCAACATGGCCATCCCCCCTTGGGGGTGATTTCTCGCTTTCTGTCTCTCTGTCTCTGTCTGGTGAGCGCACGTGCCCTATAGCAAAAACCTCTGTAGCAAAAAAAAAAAGGGGGGGAGAGAAAAAAATATTATTTCTTCCTTCAATGAGGAATAGGTATAGATGATCTTACTTAGATTGATTTTTAATAATTATATTTATGCTATAATGATTTTCATCTATATTTTAAGGTCCAGTAAGGATAATTTTTAGTGATAAACAGAATAACTTTTCTTTTTCCTTTTCAGGGAGATGAAGTTTATTTCCAGAATTCAGTATCATTCAGTGATTAGAAGTCCTCAGTCCACTACAGCCGTTTACCAACACTACGAGAAAAAGATGGTAAAAACAGCAAAATGTAGATGGGGTTGGTCCTTCTGAGAACATTAACTATTATCTTGCCTTCCTGTCCTTTACTTAGTTTAAAATGTTTCTGTTATTAATGATGTGTAGGATTTCTTCTATTGTTTAGGAATTGGTGGACTGCAGAAGTGTTAGGACCATATTTTGTTTAGTATCCTCCATGGCCTTGAAAGCCTAGATAAATGAGAATGTTGATCATGATCTGACAGTGTGCACCACCCCTACCCCCCAAGAGCTGTCTAATTCTAAGTTACGGAGAGAAGCTAAAGTGTTCAAGAGTTAATAGTGGTATGTAACAAGAAAAGGGATGGAATAATTTAGGCTAAGGAGAAGGTTTTGAGATGTAGAAGAAAAAAGAGATGCAACTTTATGAAAATCATTCAGAAAGCAATATTTTACATGGTAGTCTTTTTAATAAATGTTAAACTTTCAAATACTGAAAACATGAATAGTAATAGTGTTAAATGCTCAATATTTATTGAGCAGATAGTTGAGTGCCAAGCATATGCCCCTCTTTTAAACTCAACATTACCAGTTAAAATTAACCACAGTGTCTCTCTAGTGCATAAAAACAGGCAACTTCCTTATCCTTTTCTTTAATGTAGAAACTAGCTGATGAGGGGACTGGCAGATGGTGTAATGGTTATGTTGCTAGACTCCCACATAGTCGACTGTGGTTCAAGTCCTGGACCCGGCAGCTTAAAACTCACACCAGGCACGTGTGTGCATGCCCAAAATTTTGAGAGGACAATGGGGGTGAAGGGATTGTGCCATGGCCATTACCCCCTTGGGGATGATTTCTCACTTTTTGTCTGTCTCTCTCTGTCTCTCCAGTGAGCACAAGCACCCTATAGCAAAAAATCTCTCTTAAAAAAAAAGAAACCAGCCAATGAGTGTTTTTATCTTTGCAGTTTTATCATAGTTGAAGTCAGATTTACAATCTGCTATCAATACTTTCTCAGTATACTAAAGATGATTAGAATTGAAGAAAATAGACAGAAATATTGGATTCTAATGCCCAAAGAATATCTTGATCATCTAAAGTGTCCAAAAGCAGAAAATAGTCAAAAGGGTGACATATGTTGGCTCCATGTGTCTAAAGACTCCTAGGATAGCAACTTTGAGGCTTTTCTAAACTAATCTCATACATGTAGCTAGGAAGGTTGATGTTTAATGAGAGAGAGCTAACTGCTAAATAGTTTCTCCTGACCTAGAAAGTAAAGACATCTTTCATGTTTTCTTTTTAAGGGCTTTGTTTCCTCAGAGTCTGCTACCTCAGAAGACAGCGATGGATTTAAATCAACCCAAGAACTTCTGAATTCTAAATCCAATGAAGCTCAAAGTAGGCTTTATTTCCCACTAATTGCCTGCCTCTTCTACCTGTTTGTCTCTCCCTTGATCAGTACCTGTAGCTTATTTTCTCAGATACCATAACAGACATACTACATTTGTCACAAAAGTCACTCTCTAGATGAGAGTTCGATAAACTATGATTTGTAAGCCAAGTCCAGCCCATCATCTGTTAAGTGTGACCCATGAGCCAAGTATATTTTTATGTATTTTTTTGGTTATTATTTTTTAATTGCTAAAGGACACGTGCACCAGCCAGAGAGAGGAAGAGAAAGCACTCTCAATGGGGCGTGGTCATACCACAGTCCTTTTTCCTTCATTTCTCCGTCTGTTAGGATTTGGGGTGTGCATACACATGGTGGGTAGTTTTCAAACACAGGTGTAGTTTTCAATCCTCTGGGGTCATGATTTAACCACAGTCAGCCATGTAAGATCTGGTTCTTTATGCATAGTACTTAACCATTGCATTAGGGTGCCAACCCTGATTTTTACATTTTAAATAGCTGAAGAAATCAGAAGGCAAATAATATTTTGTGACTTCAACATTATATGAAATTAAAATTTCAGTGTCCATGAGTAAAGGTTTTTTTGGCACATAGGCAGTCTTCATTTATATAATGTCTTTACTTTTACACTACCACAATAAAATTGAGTAGTGATAACAGAAGCAACATGGTCAGCAAAGACTCAAATACTTGCTGTTTGCCCATTATAGAAGTTTTCTGACCTGTGGTCTAGTTGCCAACAGCAACCTAATGCATAGCAGAAGTAAGGTGCTCAGCTCTGACATTATATGGTATACGGGTGTCCATGGTTTAGAAGCATTGTCCAAAACAGCCACTTTTTATTCTTTATTTTGGACTTCTTTAAAAATAAAGACACATCACTCTCCTTTAGTAGTCTGACCAATGGGGTGCAGAAGAGGATGCCAAACATGACTCTAGCAAAGGGCTGAAATATCACTACCCTAAGTACTTGTCTTTCAAAGTCACTGACCTTACTGTTTACAAGTAGACAATCCTGGTTTTTGGTGCTTTTGCTTTCGATATATCACAGGAAAACATTTCTGAGAGATGTTCCTTTTTGAAGAACTGACCAGGCATTGCTGCATCTTCTCCCTTTGTGTCCCCTTGCATCTGCAACCTCAGCTCCCAACATATTATTACAGGATGGAGATCAGGAGAAGCTTGGCAAATTCTTGAGAGAAAAGGTCTATCAAGAAAGAGCATTTATGGGCCAGCCTCATAGCTTAGTGATTAAAGGAGCCAGATCCCACATGGCTATCTGTTGTTGGAATCCCAGCCCAAGCAGCATGAAGAACATACTGGACACGTGTGTGTGCATGCCCCAAAATCTCAACAAGATGGGGAAATGTCTCTCTCTGACCAGTGCACATACTCTCTGGCAATTTAAAAAAAAGTTTGACTACTTGAGAAAAAAAAAAAGCATTTTACATGTTTATTTTAACATTTAATACATGGGAACCATAATAATACATACTAATACTTTGGATTCTTTTGCCATTTTCATATACTGCTACAGTATATATAGCAGACACTCTACAAATCATAATCCTATACTATTGTGGCTTCCAAATAACCCAGGATTAAAATATATGAGTACATGAAGGAATAGTAGATGGCAACAGTAATAAAGTCAAGAGCCTTAATTTTAGAGAACAATTTCTTCATGGCACTGACTTACGTGGTACTGTGGCATTTTTAAATAAATGATTTACAAATTCCATCTTACATGCATTCACACTTTTAAATGCTCTCAAAAATTATTTCTATTATTGGATAAGAAAGATGACAAAGCAGTTTATTCATTTTTAACTATTATTTATAAAAGTATAATTATTGAATGGGCATCTAGCAAAGCATGAAACACAGGTGTAGAAAACCTTTAACAGCACAGTTGTCACTGTTGGGCTTCTGGAGGAAGACTATGACAGGATCTTCTCTGGCCTTTTTCATTGATATTGTAAAGGCCTCAAGTGCTCCTAACACACTCTGTTATACTTATTTAAAATATATCCTTCAGTGCAGGCTTTAGAGTTGAAGAGACGGAAGTCAGTTTGTTAGATGAGATTAAAATAAGTAAGAGTAGTGAAGCACTATGCAGATTTATAAAAAGGCATTGTTACAGTGTAGAAGGCAGACTAGGAGCCATACATTTCTGGCTTTGTGACTGCAGTTTTCCTTATGGGTAAGGCAAATCTCTTCACTTCTCAGAGACTTGGTGTTTTCATTTGTAAGATTAAAGTAATACTGTCTGCCTTAACACATTGTAAGGATTAGTAATAAAGCTGCAAAAGCAACTAGCATCTAATTGGTATTATATATCTTAGCACTATTGCTCAGCCAAGTATATTTCCTGACAGTTCTTTCCTACATGTCTATCAGAGGACTCAAGCTCAGACCAAGTTGAAGATTCTGAAGACAATTGGCTGATCAAATCAGATGTGATAGATATAACTAAGTGCAGAGAAGAAAGTCCATCAGAGGGCAGATGTAACCAGGCAACCACACTGGATAATCATCAGACTATTGAAAGAGAATTTGGGGTTCAAATACAACAGCCCCAAGAGGAAAAATCTCTGGTCTGTCAGAAACAGCAGATCTTCTGTGAAGAGCCAAGTGAAACCAAGACTACTTCTGATTCTCTGACAAAGTTTAATAAAGGAAATGTATTTTTATTGGATGCCACAAAACAAGGAAATGTGGGCCGCTTCCTTAATGTGAGTATAGAGGCTGAGATTCATATTGCTAACAGGTTTTTTTCTATGCTTTTTAACAAAGTTATGAGGCAAATATGATTGATTCTAAAGCCAGACTCCCTGGATTAGAATCTAGTCCTCCCCTTAAGTGACCTTGGCTGCATCACTTGACCTTTCAAAGCCTCATTTCCCCTTTCTATAAAATGAGAATAATAATGATAACTGGCTCAGGATGTTGTGAGGATTATATGAATTAATATAAAGCGCTTAAAGCAATTCTAGCATATAGTAAACCTTTGCTTAAAATACTAGAAATATATGTAAGAAAAGTATTTAAATACATTGATTGATGCCGTCAGGTGGCATAGTGTTTAAGACGCTGGACTCCCACATGGCTGACTACTGTTCAAGTCCTAGACCTGGTGGCTTACTTTCTCACTTTCTTTCTCTGCTCAAATTAAAAATAAATCTTTTAAAATAAATAAATATATTGGAAGGTTTTCAAGCTCAGCTGCCCAAGTTGAAACAATTTTTTTTTTTTGAGAGGTTTTTGCTGTAGGGTGCATGCACTCAACAGAAAGAGAGAGACAAAGGGACCAGCAGTTGGCGTAATGGCTGTGTCACTGGACTCCCATGTAGCCGACCGCAGTTTGAGTCCTGTACCCAGTGGCTTAAACTCACGCCAGCGCATGTGCGTATGTGTCTGGGGTCCCAAGAGGAGAATGGAGAAGAAGGGATTGCGGTGTGGCCATCCCCCCTGGGGGGTGATTTCTCACTTTCTGTCTCTATCTATCTCTGGTGAGCACATGCGCCCTATAGCAAAAACTGCTAAAAAGAAGGAAAAAAAAGAGAGAGAGAGAGACAGAGACAGAAAGCAAGAAATCACCCCCCAGAGGGCATGGTCACGTCTCAATCCCTTCTTCTCTATTCTCCTCTTGGGATCTTGGGCATGCACGCACACGCGCCCAGCATGAGTTTAAGCCTTTGGGTCCAAGACTCAAACTGTGGTCGACTACTTGGGAGTCCAGTGACATAGCCATTACGCCAACTGCTGGTCCTGAAACAAATTATTTTAATTAAACGGTGGTAGGCCTGTCGAGGGAAACACTGTGGAGATTTGACCCCTCTATGAATCTTGTGATAGATTAGTATGTGGAGACAGCAGTAGTGGGCAACAGAGTAAATTGACATGTGATAATATGAGGAAATATTAAGTCATTGGGAAAATCATGATGTATTTTTCTATGCAAAAATGTGTCATGACTTTCCCAAACAAGAATGAATACTGGCTGTCGTTCAGGGAAGTCAACTGTTTGCACATCTTCTCTCCAAAAGGCCTGTTACTTTCTTACATTTATACAGTCTATTGTTTCTTTCTTCACAGAAATACAGATATATTCTTATCTTCCATTTTTTACATACAAGGCAACATTCACTGTCCTATACTTTGCTTTTTAATTTTTTTAAAAAACGGTAACAGAGTACATGTGTGCAATTATAGTAGGGTAGATAGAGGGGACCACACTCCATAGGATCTATCATGCCATAATCTCCTTCGTCCTGTCCTCTAGCTCTCACATCTGGGTACTCACATGGGTATCCAGTAGGTTCTGGGCCAGCCAGACCTGAGATTTAAACCATGGTCACCATGTGGACTCCCCTTCTCTTGAGTAGCACATTAACCACTATGCCACAGAGCCAGCCCCACTTTGCTTTGTAAATGAACAATACAAGGGTACTTCAAAAAGGCTCATGGAAAAGTGAAATTAAAGGAAGAATTTATTCTGGTACTTTTTTTTAAATGTATATTTTCCATGAACTTTTTGAAGAGTCTGCATATATCCTACAGGTCTTTCCACATCGATACACAGAGGAAACTCTTCATTTGTTTCATTTGTATGTTTTTATATATCATTGCATAAAATTCCATTACGCTTGATATACCAAAGTTTATTTAACCAATCCTCTTTAGGCAGACATTTGCCTTATTTCCAAACTTTTCTCTTGAAAATGGTATATATAGTAAAATCCTTGATTTGATTGTCACATACTACATGCATACTTTGAAAAATCATATTGTATGCTATAGAGAGATACAGTAATTAAATGTGAATAAGAAATTTTAAAAATGCTAAGTGAATAATCTGATAATATATATATATATATATATATATGCAGATAAATCTGCAGAATACATTTCTAGGTGTGAGATTGCTGAATTAAAGATACATATAATAATGATAAATATTGACATCTACCTTTCCTAAGGGTTTGTACCATTTGTGTTTTCTACCACCAGCATATGAGTGTCAGAAAAGGACTTTGCTGAATGAGCTGCTAGTAACAGAACTGTCATGAGCTATGATATTTTACAGATTAATCAGCAAAAAAAATAAAAAGAATCAGTGATATATGTTAGAAACAGAATGTTCTAAGGCTTCAAAGCATAAGCCTCAAACTTTATGCTGTTTCTAACCCTTCTCTGTTTCATTTTCTGTTTTGTTTTAACAGCATAGTTGTTGTCCAAATCTCTTGGTACAAAATGTTTTTATAGAAACACATGACAGGAATTTTCCATTGGTGGCATTCTTCACCAACAGGTATGAAATTGATTTTGCTTATGTGATTTAATTCTGAAATTATGGCTTTAAAAAAAATTGACAAAAAGAAGATACGTATGGGGACCAGCAGATGGCGTGGTCGTTAAGGTGCTGGACACTCTCACATGGCCGACTACGGTTCAAGTCCTGGACCTGGTGGCTTGCGACTTTCTCATTCTCTCTATCGTAAAAATTTAAAATAAATAAATAAATGAATGAATGAATAAATACAATTAAAAATAAATAAATTTTAAAAAATAAAAAAAAGATGGGGCCAGCAGGTGTTGTAGTGGTTAAGGCCACTGGACTCTCAGATGGCTGACCGTGGTTCGAGTCCCAGGCCTGGCAGCTTGATTTCTAACTTTCCTTCTCTCTCTTTGTCTCTCTATGGTCAACTTCAAAAGAATAAAATAATGACAATGAATAAAAATAAAATAATTCTTTTTTTTTTTTAAAAAAAAGAAAGATATGTATTATAGCCCCAAATATCTGGTACCTATAATATTCAGTTATCTTAAGATTTCCTAGTCTGTGAAATTTAAACATGTGAAAATTTTAATACTTTTTTGTTGTCGTTAGTTTGTTTCTTCCATGAATGAGAGAGAGAGCACTGCTACCAGGGTCTTGACACCACAACCGACTCCCAGCTTCAGCCAGCTCTGGATCGTGGGCATAGACTTGCCCAGTGTCCTCAGGGAGGTCTCCAGACATGAACCAAGGATCTTCCCAGGTGGATTGGCCTCACAGCACATTGTGCTTTCCTGCT